ACAGTTTCTAGGCTAATCTCATTAATTATAGCCAGTTTTCTTGTCATTTGAATTCTACTAGTAAGCCAAATATAAACCAGGTGAAAATTGAAACCTAAAACGATATGAAAGCGCAAAATTAAACCAGGTGAAAATTCAACACACAAACAAAAAGAAAAACACAAAATGCATGATGATATATACGTACGATGGAAGTGACATTAATGGGTCGGGAGAGACAGAACTCAAGAGGGACATGAAAAGGAATAAGAGGGCTTCCCACGATCTTCAACAACGCCACAAACTCATTGTCTGATTTCGACTGCAAATGCATATTAACATTACTCATCGACGACGAAGACGCCGGCGTTCTCATGTCAGCAGCGACTGCGGTCACGACGGCATGCGCCTTCATAAGAGCATGCATATTCCTCCACCGTCCCGTTGCGCTGCTTCCCATCTTCGTAAACATTTCTTCAGGCACTGGAACCTCTAATACCGTCTCTAACCCGTCTTCATTGTCTAAATTCGGACAAAGCTTCCTCATCCTCATCTAATATTTTTGTTTTCTTGAATGATCCGAGATAGAGAGGAAAAGAGGATTAAGGGTTTCCTCTTTTTCTCCAAGTTTTTATTACGAGGGAGAGATGGGTAGGTTTTGGAGAATCAAAGGGATTACAACTAACAAAACTATTCTTGATTATGTTCTTGATCGTTTTCTGTTGGCCGGCTTTTATATATAACTAAGGTGCTCCTTGCTCGTAGCTATCGTGAGAACACGATTTCAGGAGGATCCATCCAAACTGTATCAGTGTGTATTTATATACATGTATTATTTTATACTGATGTTAACATATACATGTATTTACGCTTTTGTGTCTATGTATGGACGTTGACATCTGGCAAGCTATTTATATTAATTAGCATGAGAATATGTGTGTATATACGGATATACATTATGGTCGTGTGCTTCATATATATATACGTGGAAGAATAGTACTAATAAGATCTAATGTATACAATCGGAGTGGGTGGCAGGAGACAAATGTTTATCGAATCTCTTTCTTTATACGCAATTAAATCTAGTTGTTATTCTAAATTATTATTTGTTCATGTAGAAGTAGATATAGACTATTGTGCTTTATGATTATTCATGCTTACTACTTCCTTGTTTTATTCTTTTTTGCCTTGGAAGTACGTTTCCTTATGCCTGCTACTTTTGTAAGCTCCTTTCTTCATTTATATGATATTAACATTCTTAGCAAAAAGTAGAAGAAAAAGAACAGATAAAACCATGGGCAAATTGAATAAAAACAAGGTAAGACGAATCCACAAGTAAAGACCCTCTTCCACTTATTGAACGTATTCTTGTGAAAGTAATTCTTAACATTTTTCCAACTAAATATTACAATTTTTGTTTATTAACAGTCTTTGATCTACCGAATAAAAGCAAAATAAAAAGAGAACTGTGGCAATGAAACTGCACGTGTAGTGAGAGTGGCCTATAGATCATGTCCCTTTGTGTTTGTATGGCCAGGCAGACAGTAGGACCGTGCGTATTGGCCTTATCTTAATCAGATAAAGTCTCATTTACCAGAGTACATACATAGGTTGTTGTCGTAGCTACAGACAGTATAGTGTGAGATTTGATCATCCATCGTACTCATTTGAATCTTCTGTTAGACACTGCCATTGGAATTACTATGAGAGTCCAAAATTGAAACCAATATTATGTAAGTACACATGAGTTGACATTAAAACAACTTTTCTTACAATTTGGTTTATAATTTGGTTGGTGTTGGACGAAAATGCCCTTCTGAATCTTATTGCCTATATCTGACCCTCTCGCTCTAACGATTTTTCCTCTCTTTCTTCACATCTCTTTTTCATATTCATTTCTTTCATCCTACACTATTTTTTCTTGATTTTTTTTCTCATCTACAATTTTATATGTAAATGAATTTTAAATTTACTCATTTTAATAGAGAAATGAAACTTCCAAAATATTTATTTATTAACATATAATACCTAACGCATGTATTACATCTACAAAATTTATTAACAACTAACATCTCTGTTAACACTTGTAATACATGTCTTTGTTAACAGCTAACACATCTGTTAACATTTACAAAATTTATTAACAGTTAATGCCCCTGTTAATACATTTGGTACATGTATTTGTTAACAGTTAACACTTTTGTTGACATCTACATTATTTGTTAACAGCTAATATAAGTGTTAACATCTCGACGATCTTAAAAAGACTTCAATGCTGATTTTTTCAGAATGTGATGTAATTAAAATAATTTAGATTCATAAGAATAGTGTAAAATAGTAATAAGTTTTTTTTGAAATAATAATTTTTTACACAAAAAGAAGGTATTAGCATGATAAGAAAGTTTTTGAATGAGAAATAAGAGAAATCAAAGGAAAGAGAAAGAGAAGTTGTTAATTCTATGGGAAAGAGAATATCAGGAGAGAGAGTGTGTCAGGAGAGAGAAAGTCACATGCATGTAAAAGGAAAAACAATTTCGTCATACAAAATGGATAAGTCCCATCATGGGCATTTGCCTAATATAAACTCCATTTGGAGTGTATCAGCAAATTATCACAATTACTATCTTAAGTTTTGTTTTACATATATTCAAATAGTGTTTAAAAAAAAGGTTTTTGTCCAAAAAGAAAAAAAAAAGAAAAAAAAAAAGAAAAAAGAAGGTTGCCAGTATTTTAAATTGATAGAACTTAATTATCTAACAATCATCATCAAACTAAGAAAAACTGTATTAGTATTTTAATTTTAATGTAAATGAAAATTTATATAAATATTTATTGCTGAATTAAATTTAATAATCGATCTGTGAACAATTATCTCAAATAACCAATTTTCAGATTTTTGTCACCAACATAGGTTCTATAGAAAAAAAAAGTGACCAAAAGATATTTTCATTAAAGAGATAAAATAGTTTTTTGTCTCTTGATTCATATCTATATAAATATAAATAAGTAATAGTTTTTTTTTTATAATTTTGAATTAAACGTGTTTAAATTCAAACTTTTTTAATTTTTTATTCAAAAAATCATTTTCATTTTTTTAAAAGAATAAAATGCTTTTGAAACTGTTTTAAAAAATTTATTTTAAACCTTTAATAATTAATTTTTATTTTTAAAATTTTAAACTGCATCTAAAATTTTCGCCCTTTAACTCTAAATCTTAAGTATATGATTAGTTAACTCTAAAGGTAAAATGTTATATTTACCTTTCAAGAAAATCTGTTTTAGTCATTTATTTGTGTGAAAATAAACTAAACATGATTATCATAGATTTTCTATAAAAATTTTGTTTTAAACGGATATAAAATTAATTATCCTACCAAGAATCTTAGTATTAAAGTTTAAATATAAATTAAAAAAATAAATTGTCAAACTATTTTATGAATAAATATTCAAAACAGTAATATGAGTTAAGTATAATTTAACTTTTTGCTTGTTTAGCAAAAACGAAAAATGAACTTTTTGTTCTTCCTATCTTCCCCTAAGTTCTAGCGCAGACTAAGTGGGGGTTATTGGTTCTAGTAATTTAATGGATTTATAAATCCTCATTAGATTTTAGAAACTTTGATAAATCCAATGATTTTCAAACCAAATAAGTGGATTTGAGAATTACTAATATGAATTTCAGAATCAAAATATTATGAATTATAAATCACTCAAATGGATTTTTAACTATCTATTACGAGTTTAGAAGGGAACATGCATAGGTTTGGAGAAAATGTTCAGAAAGTCCAAAGCCATTAGCAAGTTAGCACCTTGAACTGGCTGGGTTTTCTCAGTATCTTCCTAAAGTACTATAGGTATGAGATATTGGCCAAATATAATTAACATTTGGTAGAGATGTTGACCAAATAGATAATATGTATGAGATAATTGAACTGCATCAATATCCGAAACTTGTAAAACGTAAGTTTTTTTAATAAGAAGCTTCCATAGAAAATAAAATTGCAACATAGAAATAAGAGACAGGAGAAGGGTGGGGGGAGCCGCTCAGGAGGAATTACAAAGCTGAGTGAAAGAAACAAACAAACAAACAACACAAAAGCATTGTTGCACATAACCAAGTTACATAATCTAAGACCAAAAGAGTTGAAGATCATCTTCAAGATAATATCGTTTGTTAGCCAGAGTAGTAGCCTTGTCCTTAACTAAGCTGATGATAGTCGGAGTCGCTACTGTTTCAGGACAAGTCCTCCCATCATGTAGACGTCTATTATGTTCTTTCCATACCTTGTAGATGACCTATGTCCAAACCTGGATAATAGCAACAATTGCAAGACCCTTTCACGGCAGAGAGATTAACCACTGCACAGCCTGATCCCAGACCCTTGGAATCACTTGAAACCCAGCTTTTGGCGCACATACAGTTTAGCAGTTCTAATAAGAAAACGGACATTGAAAAAAACAAGTATCTCTGCATACATCCGAGAGATCACAAAGTATGACAGCACTGTGAGAGGAGGATCCCACCATCCATGTGATGGTGTCATGATATATTGAAGGAGCACAACGTAAAAAAGAAAAAAACAATAATACAAACCCAATCAAAATAACAAGGTTCAAGTTGGTATTTGTTCCTTTGTATTTTCACCTTAATAACATTTTAAAATCCACTCAAATCCAATTCTAAATCAAATCCTTAAACAAATACTTGCTATTGAATAAGACTTAATTTTAAAATTTATTTTAAAATCATAAAATCAATAACAGTGTATTTGAATTTGTATTCTAAAATCATAAAACCAATAACACTGAATTTGATTTACATTTTGAAATCCATTAAAATACATAAACCAATAACACCCTCTAAAGAAGACCAGATAGTTTCCGACACAAAGATCTCAAATCAAAGACAATTTAATTTTAATCTTTTTTTCTTACCACAACGTTGTTTGACTTCCAATAGAAAAGTCTTCCAGATAGATATTCCGACCGGATAAATCTTCTTCCTTTCAGATCCGATAGATCTGCTTGCCTAAAATGGCGGTTACTTCCTGATCTCAAGAAGCAAAACAAAGAAGAAGAAGACGACCACCCATCTGCTAACTTCGGCTACACTCTTCAATGGCCAGTTCCCAAAAAGGCAAATCCTTTCTCTTCCGTTTCACCTTCTTCCTCTCCCTTAACTTGCTCTTCCTTTCACCCATCGTAACCGCTTCCGAGGAGCTTGTTAGGTTGCATAGACTCGAGGAGCTTGTTAGGAATCTGACAGAAGTAGTAGCTAGACTAGACGCTAAGTTATCTGAAACTAAGAAACACGATATCATCATCAGTAATAATGGGGTTAAAGAGAAAGCTAAAGCCTTTTCAGTGACAAAGTACAGTCCTTTCTGGTCAGAGAGATTCGAGTTCACCTCTGCTGTGAAGCTAAACTCCGAGGCAACGTGTATCAACGTGTTACCCTTTAGAGACCACGAAGGTTTAAGCAAGTACTTCGCTGTTGGTGACTCAAGTGGGAGCCTCTACGTGTTCTTGAGAAACGGCGACGTTTTGGTCGAGTTTTTCACCACTTGTGATTCACCCATCACTGCTATGGTTTCTTACATGTCTGTGTATAAGAACGAGAGCTTTGTGGTGACGGGGCATCAAAGTGGAGTTATCTTGTTGCATAGACTCAGAGAGGGATCTGTTGGGGAAGATTTGAGTTCTGCTGTGATGGAGAATGTTGGTAAGTTTGATGGAAGGGAAGATGGTTTAGAAGTGACTTTATTGGAAGTGCATCATGTTGGTCGTGTTAGGTTTATATTAGCGACTGATCTCACCGGAAAGCTTACTGTTTTCACTGAGAACAGAACTGTTTACGGATCAGTTACACCTACAAGTAGACCTCTTGTGTTCTTGAAGCAGAGGCTGTTGTTTCTCACCGAGACTGGTGCTGGTTCGTTAGACTTGAGAAGCATGAAGATCAGAGAGTCAGAATGTGAAGGTTTGAACAATTCTTTGGCAAGAACTTACGTTTTCGACGCGGCGGAGAGGTCTAAAGCTTATGGTTTTACATCAGAAGGTGAAGTGATTCACGTGTTGCTTCTCGGTGACGTAGTGAACTTCAAATGTAGAGTTAGATCAAAGAAGAAGGTTCAGATACAAGAGCCTGTAGTAGCGTTACAAGCTATCAAAGGCTATCTTGTTCTAGTCAGCGAAGAGAAAGTGTTTGTATACAATGTATCGACTCAACACTATGTTAGAACCACAGGTCCTCGGCTTCTCTTCCCTGCTTCATTAGAAGATATCAGGTCAACGTTCTTGAGACACCATCAAGAAACCAAGTTTAAGGTAACTCCTTTGATAGCAAGCGACCGTGAGAAGCTTCTTGTGATGAGTTTAGGTGAGGGATACGTAGCTACATACAAATCAAAGCTTGAGAGTTCAAAAGGAGAACTCAACACGATGCTATGGAGCAGTCCTGTCTTCTTCTTTATACTGTTTTTATTCGCTGCGTGGCATTTCTTCGCTAAGAAGAAAGATTCTCTCACAGCTTGGGGACCTGAAGAAGATCCTTTCACCTCCTCTTCTGCTTCTTTCTCTGAGCCATCTAGGAGAAACGACGATGAGCTCATGGATCTTAGAAGAAGATATGTTTCTCCATCACGGTATCCTCCTGGAGCAGCAGCTGGTACTTACAGGTCAGTTGCCTCTAATGAACCGACTTCTAGAGCGACGGTTGATGGTACAAACTATAGAACAACAGGGCAGGAGATGAAGTATCGTGGTGGGTCAGGGCTTGATTCTTCAGGTGGTTTAGGGTTTGGTAATAGAAGAGAGAGCTTGTTTGGTAATAATAACAAAGCTTTAGACAACGAAAGTTAAAGGCCTTTTTTTAAAAAACGTTTTGCCACTTTCTTTTTTTCTTTGTTACCGGTCTAAGTTTTTTGTATTTTGTAACACTCCGGCGAAAAAATACATGTTTTTACCGGTAGCTTTGTTTCTCCGGGCACATCAGGATCAGATTGAAAATGATGGATTTTTTTTCCAATATATTATAGTATATCAAGATCCAAATGTCTTACAGGACCTTTAAGACAGTGTTAGTAAGTCCTTAAGCTCGACAACTGAAGAATGTGACATTGATTCTTAACAACACATTCATTATTTTGTCTTTTTTTTTATGAAAGCTATGTATGATTTATCAATGAGACTCTCAGGCTCTACCCTCCAGCGATGACACTAAATAATGACACTCTAAATGAAAGCTAAAGCTCTGAAACCTTGAGAGTTCTGCAGAAACTCAATTCTATTTAGGGGATAGCACTTGTTTGGGACAAATCTTGGAGTGGCTGAAACCAAGTAGGGTCTGGCTACGATCTTTGAGGCATTACAGTTTCAGGTTGTCTCCAAGTTATGTACAAGCTTCTGTTTTGCCTGTGATCTTGAGTCTTGACACCTTGCAGCCTCAGAATGGTATTCGAGTTAAAAAAGACTAGGAAGATGTTATCTCGGTTTAGTGTATTTCGGTTTGGTTTCTATCCGATTCGGATCGAAGATGTTATTTTGGTTTGTATTGGTTCTTCCATTTATTGAAAGGGTAAAATAGTCAAATCCACGTAATTAAAGCTCATTATCAATTGTATCTTCTTCCTTCCTTTCAAACCCACAACAAGGGACACAAGACAAGACTCTGCAACTCCTAAGTAAACGATTCTGTGTTCGTCGTATATTGGGCGGGAAAAGAGTACCCACCCATCTTTTGGTCTTCCCTGCTCTGAGACAAGCTTTCACGGAGTACGCACCCAAGGTGTTCGACGAAATTCCTCAGAGAGACTATATAATAACACAAGAGTGAAGGATATGCCGCCACTAGAACCGTTTCGAGTCTTGAGAAACAGTGTGCTCGTAGTTCTTGGTGGGTTTGTCACCATTAACGTTGTTTCCGCGGCAGCCTATGGTGCGTTTCGACTCACTACAGAAGAGAAACGGAAGAAGAGCGGGTTGGCTTGTGGGACGTGTCGTGGGAAAGGGTTTTACAGATGCAAAGTATGCAAAGGAAACGCAACGATAAAATGGTCGCCATTGTATGATCCTGTTTGTATCAATCCATGTCTTTGTCCTACTTGCGATGGTCACAGGTATCAAATGTCTGAGAAGAACATATCTACAATTGGTTTCTGTTCCAAAAAAAAAACAAGACGATGGTATCTGATTGTGACAGAACTGAAAAGTCTGGTTTGTTTCTTTTGTGGTATTGCAGGGTACAAAGATGTCTCAACTGCCTAGGAAAAGGATACTGGTGACCCTTTTGAATCTTCCTTAGGATTTATCATCTTTGTGATCACAAAATGCTATTGAATCCTTAACACTTCAGAAAAAAAATAACTATGGTGGTGGGTTTGGCAATCTTGCCTTATATCTCCACGATTTAGCTTATGTAGCTAGCTTGTGTTCATTGATTGTGTTATTCTTCTAGCTAGCTTTGTATAACCAGATATTTGATAATATTGGTTAGTTGTTGACAAAAAAATATTGAAATTGCAAGTACATATAAAGAATTTACACATTGTTGTAAAAAGCATGTTCCGCAAATTTTGGATCTTTGATGTTGAGAGGCACAATGGGGAGGTGGGTGATACACCAGTAATCAATTTTTGACAAGACAACACACAACGGCATGGATTGAACATCTGTAAGGGAACAGAATAATACATATCTTATCTACAAATAATGCTTTTTGAAATCAAATTCATGAATTGAACAATGACACTTAACACTCCAATGCTTCCATGGAGAGAAGGGTATGTGCCGCATGTTTGGATAGTAACTGATGAACAATTGATATTCCATAAGGATCCAGATACCTGAAAGAAGAATAATAGCTTCTTCTCACTTTCAAGTGTTCAAAGTCTAACCACGAGCCTTTCCGTTTCCAAGTGTAAGCTCCAGATCCTCCATACCAACATCATGTATCATCTCTCCTTCCCACGGCTTAACTTGGCTACTACTCTCAAATTTAAACTCAGAGCTTTGACCAATCTCTTGGAACACACCAGCAGCAACAGCATTTGGAGACATATGGTGAGGCACGGGAGGAGGTTTCACAAGATTGAAAGTGGGAGAAGTTGGCACCAAAGAGCCAGAGAAAGGCTGTTGTTGTTGTTGCTGAGCAAACTTCTGAAAGCTTATCCAATGACCAGAGTCAACAGTGGAGGCGTCAGACTCATCACACTCAGGTATAGTAGCCGGAGCATGAAACTGGCGATGAGTTGGACTAGCAGGTGCAGAAACAGCATAGAAAGGATAGTTAAAAGACGCCATTGAATGCTTAGCGTTGGCCATGGACTGGTTAGCAATAGATTCCCAGTTGGGTAAGGGTTTAGGGTTCTTGGAAGTTGGAGATGAGAGGGGTGGAGTAACGGGACAACTGTTTGAGATTCTGAGAGAAGGAAGAGAGGTAGGAATGCCTCCGTTTTGGAGGAAGGGGAAGAAGGTGGAGCTGTTGTTGTTAGGTTCACAACGAGAAGGACTGGGGAAAGATGAGGAAGAAGGGCTGACTTGGTAAGAAGGTATGGGACTCTGAAAGGCTGAGGAAAGAGGGCTTTGGTTTTGAGATGAGTAAGGAGGATACGATGTCCCACCTATCTCACTAGGTAGAGGCTTGCATCCCTGTTGACTCAAAATGAAACAAACAAACAATGTCAGAATCAAACAAATGTAAAGACTTTGGATCGTGTAAGACAACCACAATTCCCATTTTAGACAAAAACTGCAAAAAGACCAATGCCCTGAGGTTCCGACATGTTTTTGGAGCTTTTGTCTTAACGACCATATTAGTTACTAATGCAAAGACTCTGGATCAAGTAAAAACATTTCTAATAGCTCAAGAAATCACTGAAATACAATTGATCTAAGATGTGAATCATCAGAAAACTAAGACAAAGAGAGTCTGAGGTTCCGACATGTTTTTAAGAAGCTTTGGTCCTAACGACAATTAAGCTTCTGACAAAACACACATCAGTCTGAGATTAGCAAAAGAAAAAAAATTCTAAATTTAACTTTTTAAGACATTAGATCCGTTTAAAGACATGAACTTTAATCTAAAGAAGCTACAAGCTAAGTGTTGTTTCCATAAAATCCGAATCAGATTTGATCATTTGAACAATCTATATAAAGAGAAAAGCTCAGATCTGAGAATTGACCTTGCGATAAGTAGTACCATCTTCTTCAACAACCCAACCAGCTTCAGCACAGAGAGCCTTGAGGACCTCATTGTTATCGCAATGTTTCGGGAGATTAAAATCTCCTTGAGCTCTTAGTCCTGTGTATATCTTCGCTGCTACAGCTCTTCTCCTCCTCTCTCTTCTCCGATTGTTCTCCCTCTCCCTCCACGATGGTTTCCTCCTCGCCGCCGCAGCTGCTGCTGCAGCTGCTGCTGACGTCGATGTAGCTCCGTCTGACGTCATCCTCACACGGAAGGTGGGTGCTTTGAGGTGAGGTGAGGAGAGGGTGAAGATTGTGTGAATGTAGACTGGAGAAGAAGGTAGAGTGCTGTGCTCACGAGGAATACGCTTTTTTTCCTTCGCTGGAATCGAAGATGAGGAATCTCTCTCTTTCCTTCTCGAAATTAATTATGAAAAAAATAATAAAACATTTTTAAAAAGAAGTATAATTGGGTTTGATTTTGGGTCGGGCTCTTTACATTACATTAATTACAATCAATGTGTTTGATTATCTATCGTCCACATGGTATAGATTTCTTTTTTGGAGAAAATATTATTTTCGTCAAACATGAATTACACAAGGATAAGTAACATGTTTGTTCTTGCTTCTTGGTATAAATATTGCCTTGGGCCTCGAGGCCCTTGACGCTGTGATTTGACCTTCCTCTAAATAGCTGATTATATACATTCTAATGTAAAGATTGTACAACAGATCCGCTGTAGCACACAGGTTTATTTCAGTATTGAAATCCGGGTTCAAAGCCCGGCAGCGGAATAATATATTTTTGCTTTTTGAATTTTAAATTCCACAAAGAAAAACCGATTATTCTTGTTTACGTTGACTTCATAAGAAGAAAGTCACCAATGAAAACCAGACAGAGTATTGAACTTTACTGTTCTATTTTCCTTTATCGAACGAGCTTTCCTCAGACTCCCACGAGTGACCCTTAGTGTTTCCTCCATTACTGTCTCTTTGGAAGATGACGCTCGCTGAATCTCCGACGCTGCAACAACGACCTCTGACGCTTTCTCTATCTCTGTTGTTGATGGTTGCTGTGCCGAATCAGCGTTTGGTTTAGTGGCGGGTGAAGGTGATGGGTGGTGAAGTACGAGTGAGTTTGGCTTGCGACACGCTGGGTTGTGCTCCCTTGGTTTCTGTTTGTTGTTGTGGCTGTAGCTGCTTCCGTGGAGATGAAGTAGGCTTAACCTCTCTATTAGTTCTTTGGCTAGAAGCAGTGGTTTGTCAGGTTTTGGTGTTGTGGACTAGCTTGAGGAGTAGGAGCTGCTTGCCTCGTCTTAAGATCTAGTTGCTTCTGTTCCTCCTCTTTTGATTTTGGGTCGAGCTCTTCACATTAATGACAATCAAAGCGCTTTATTATCTAGATGTGGGGGTTGAGTGTAGAGGATAAGAGCGCGTTGTAGCGTGTGTAATTGTCATATTAGTACGTGTGTTGTATATTTTCTGTCTGTGTGTATGACCAGAGACACAAAGGAGCAACTACTTTGGCATTGTTCAAAGACATTTCATGTTGTAAGTTTGAGAAGATTAAATGGAGAATAGGTGAAAAATGCTCAAGAACATGAGTATATATCGGTTAGAATGTTCCGAGACACTTCATGTCTAAGGTAACATTAATTCCATAAAAAAACTGAAGTCAAAAGGGCCAAAAAGCTACAATATCTTTGTGATGTTTCTCTTCTCCCTGATTTTCTCAGGAGATACATGAGCTTCTTGGTACTGTAGGTTTCGTTAAGCTGCAGAAGGAAAGCAAAAATTTTGTAGGTAGAGATCAATGACTTAAATAACAAATCATCTTCTTTTGGTCACACATTTTTAACCATTCCTTTGCTTCAACAGTTGAGTATAGTAAATCAACAGTTATGTCCCTCTCTGGTGTTATTGCTCTCTCTCATGTAAAATACATTAACAAGCAAGCAATGACCTAAAAACAAAGAACCCATCTAATCTTTAGTTATCTGTTTTGTCTTTTCCTCAAAAACAATACTTAAAAAAAAAATATTAAGAGATACAAATGAAATCAACAATGCAAATGAGATGCAAATCTTAGAAAAAAAATAGAAAAGATGATACAAAGTCATAAACTTTACTTGCATAAAAAGCTAAAGAAACGTGAAACCCTAAACCCTACAAGAGTCTAAACCAAATCTCTGGCTTTTAAGATCGGGTGGGACAGAAAGTGATCAAGTAGTTAGCCCCGGAACAAGTGAAAGTACTCGTCGCGTCATCATAAGCGTAACTGTAAGCGCTAGGACAAGCGTTCTTAAACATAACCGAGTAATGCGTCGGAGAACAAGTTCCCGGCGTCGCGTGAGCACCTGTACAACAGAACTCCGGCGAATTAAACGCCGCGCAGGCACTCTTACACGCCGCGATGATTCCCGTACGTGGATCCATGACCCGAAGCTCGTTAGGACAAACATTGTTGACGTCGGCGACGCAGCCCGCGTATTTACAGTCACCGGAGCCTCCTTGTGGTTTGATCCCCATCTCGACGTTGTAACCGTCGACGAGACTCACGTCGTAGAAGTCTTTTCCGGAGACGCCTGATCCGACTGTGAACTCGGCTAGAGTGGTTGGAGGAACTCCGCCGCCGATGCATTTTAGAACGCCGCCGCAGTCTCCGGTGACGCAGTTACCGTGGCCGGTGGAGTCGAAGTTGCAGCCGGTACGAGGCCAGAACCGGCCTGACCATCCTGGAGGAGCGGTTAGCTGTTGAGAGGCGCCGGGGGTTAAGGGAAAACCGCCGTCTCCGAGGGTGTTGCTGTTGCCGGAGAGGATTCCAGGCCAGACGGTGTAAGGACAACTGTTTTGTAGGGTGAAGACGGTGGCGGAAACAGCAATGCCGTCTGATATTTCATTACACAAACCAAAAGAAAAAAACTTTACTTAACAAAAGAAAAAAACTGTTAAACACGACAATAAAAAATGAAAATGTCTTAGAATTATAGTGCAAGTACGCAGATTGATGTAAAACTGTAATAGCGACAAGAGAAAGAGACATAAATTGAAAAAAAAAAACAAAAACAGAGAGTGGTTTTGTTTTTTTTTTTTTTAACAGAGAGTGGTTTTGTTATTACTTGTGATGACGATGAAGAAGAGAATGTGAATACTTGAGAAAGTCGCCGCCATCTTTTTGTTTGTGTGTGTTATGTGATGATGATTTGTGATGGGGTGATGAATGATGATGAATGTCAGTTACTCGCACCGATCCTCCTTTTATAAGTGCTGGTTCGAAGGTAGTGGCGTTAGTGCTATAAATGTTTCATTAATATTGAATTTGGGAAATATTTACCGTTTATGGTTCTTCCCCGCAAAGAAAAGGATGTGATTTTGTGAATAATCTTTGTGAATTCTTTGTGCCGTTCATCTTCTTTAAGTCTCTGTCAAATTTTTATTGGCCCCAATTGGTTTAATTCGTGCGTTAATTTGGTGTGAATTTAATTTAATACAGTTAATTCAAAATTAAGTGGGATCATTATTACGGATTCATGAACATTAAGTTGACATGATGTGGTGAAAGAGCATGCCCAATTATTTACTGCTCAATGAATCAAAGAGACGTGAAGAGAGCCGTACGTGTATTAACCATTTTTCACACGTTTGCATAAAATTTCGTTAAAAAGAACCCACAACATTCATCCATGATCCCATCTCTCGTGTTATTCCTTCCTGTTTTTTTCATCATCTTTTTTTTTTGCTGATAAATTTATTTATATTATTAAGTACGTACTTCCCGCCAGTTTATCCTGAAACATGCTATGAGATACGATCTTTAGAGCATCCGCAATGGCGGATCCTTAGAGAGAATACTTAGGAAAAAGGAAAAATGAGTATTTCGGATTATATAAAGATATTTCAGAATTTTTTTTTTTTTTAGAAAAACTGACCACTCACGGACCGCCACGTGGCAGTGGAGCCCGCGAATAGTGTAAGGATCAATCTTTCCTTACATAAGTATTTTAAGGATAAAATCTTTAACTGTTCATGAGACCCATTGATTATAAAATTAATATTTCCCTAAAGATTTCCTTCAAGTATCCGCCATTACGGATGGTCTTACAACATTAACCATATTGTATACCTCTATATAAAAAGTTTATTATTCATGGAATAAGATACACGAATTACTTTTTTTTCTCTTCTTATTACAACAAAATTCATGTATTTAATGAGTTCAGAAACAGCAAACCTGGAGACATTGAATATTTCTTGATTTAAGAAGGCTTGACTACAGGAATCAAGTTCATGGAATTTCACCAACTTTGTGTAGGAAAAAGAGTATTATTTATCCTAAAACCCTGACGATTAGGCTTCCTTAAATTAGAGGTACATATGTTAGAGCCATTTCATTTATAGAGTCAATGTAACTCAAGACTACATGAGCTTAAGCATTTTATGCTCTGTCAACGTATTTACCTCGCGACTTAGATCATTAGTACAATAACGTATCGAGTAAATTCATCACCTGCAAAAAGAAGGTAAAATATTTTTGGGACAAAGTGGGTTCTATGCTTCTTCCATCACCGATTAACCGTCATAATTGATTTTGTTCAGAAGAAACACCTTTTGACAACAAGGAGTTAAGACCTATTGTTGTTTCTAACTCAATGATGATCACAAGAGTTGAGTTTCACAGTAACAAAGTTTTGTTGTTCCATGACAGTTTGGAAAGGAGAAATGCTAACCGTGGCATTTGCAAACACACAATCAGATTGACCACAACCAAAATGAGATTAAAGACACAAGTCAAATGCAGTATGTGAGTTTCTTATGAACAGTATGTAATGCAATTATTTAGTTTTATATATATGCCCACAACGCATATCAGATCTCAATGTAACATCACCCACAAAGGTGTACTATGCTTGTTACATCACCCACAAAGTTTTTGTTCAGATGGAAACTTCAGTTGTTAATTCGATCACAAGTTAGATAGAACACCTTTCTTGACAACAAACAAGAGTTTCACAGCTCCAACAATCAACTTTTTCCTTACAAGTTTCTGTAAGAAGAATTAATTTCTCAGTGACTTTTGCATGACGCAAACAGTTTGTTACAACCATAATGCAAATACAGATATTATTTGATAAGAGACTATAATATAAAAGAAAACTAAAGAATGAAAAGGCAGCTTTGAAATCTTTTCTACCTGTAAACTCTTCATATTATTTCTCTGTATGTAAGGAAAGAATTGTATGTACAAAACAGGAGTTAGTGTTCTTTTCCTTTTTTACCACCTCTACAACAGCCAACAGGTGGTGAAGGTCGGAACTTGTAATAAGTAGCAAAAGATAAATACATGAAGCTTAGACCAGCATAGACTTTGAAACAGCTATGTGAATACAAGGTCAGATAAACGAACAATCCTGTCAAAGATATCACCATTCCAAAAGTGGCTATGCATTTCAAGATAGAGAGCTCTTCTACTTGTCTTTGATTTGGGAACTGCCCCTGAGCATTGAAACCGGATAAGAGTTTGTCCTTGGCCTGGAATGAATCCATTAACCAAGCAGAAGACTCTGCATCATTTGCTGGAATCTCCTTAGCTAGAACTCGCCTAACGTGGATATGAACTTCTGAAGGATCAGTTCCGAATACATTGTCCATGAAAGATGGGCAGCGCGGCTTATATGCAATAGTCAGATCATATACTGCATAAACAGTTGAAGTCATGATAAGTATACTTGAGATACTATTACTTAATATAAAAAGTGAACATTTTCAAGTACCCATACCTGCATCCAAAGAGTTATGTAGAGCTTCAAAGCAAACGCTAAAACCTCTTGTTTTTGGTAGAAGTACGTTTGATAATGCAGGAAGACCAACCTCAGCTGCAAACTTTTGACTTCTTTTGCACTTCTCTTCACTGCATGTATCAAAGTAAGGGAGGAGTTAAACATACTCTGTTAACACATTTTATAATGTAAGATCAGATAAGGAACATAATAGTAGTATACGTGAAGTCTGTTCCTTCAGGGAAAAGAGCAAGCCACAAGGGATCTTGAGGATCTTTAAAAGTTGAAAGCATTTGAAGCATAGCAGGTTCATCAACCTCACGGTTCCTCTCCACAGGGATAAACTCAAGGATATGAAACCCCCATCCGAATATAGGCAGCCTCATCAAGCTGCTTTTAAGGACGTACTTGATGTAGCCAAGACACCCTTTTCTCAAGGCAATGTTCCAAAGATACATCCAGTCCACCTCCGTCCTATGATTTGCTATCAGCAAGACACGTTTCTCTACAGGAAGGGTGTCTCCGGAGAAAACTACTTTTGTTCCGTTGGCTGTTTCGAAGAGGTAAGGCCAGAGAGCTAACCAGTGACCAAAGATGAACGAAATAGCTTTCCTAGATTGGTGTACGCTTAGAAGACGTAAGGCTAGAGCGAAGATGGGTGAGAAGTAGAGAAGGAACATGAAAGCAGTAGAGAGGAAGATGAGTAAGATGATGAGACCCCTTAGGATCCTAAGTGGAGTCAAGGGACGGTTCTTTAAGTTATCAGAGTCCCCACAAACTTCCATCTTCTTTTTTTTCAGACAACACCCACAAGAGTCGAGACAAAACTGCAGCAATGAGAACCAAAAAATCACTTTAGTAAGTTCCCCACAGAGACAAGAGACCAGCAAACAATGTAATGCCCAAAGGGCTTTACTAATTAATGCCCAAAGTTTCTAACTTTTAATATGAAACTAACCAAAAAAAATATAGAAACTTGAATCTCAGGAACATGAACTACTATTGACAAAGAATCCAAATTTTTACCATCTAAAAGCTGCAAAGAATCCAATTTAAATTTGACTATTTACACAATCAGTATTCCAAATTGGGAAAGACTTGTGGATACCAGATAAAAATCAGATCCCACGTGGAGACAGAACAAGAGAAACACACTTCTGTCCGAAAGAAAACAAAATCTAGAGAGAGAGAGAGAGTACCTGGAGAGGGGAAGTAAGGGAGGAGGAATCAGTTTGAAGATAAACGTTAAACGGAACAGAGGAATCTTAACAAAGTTTTATAGAAGGATCCGATGCGGGTCGGATCTAAATGGGAGATTAGGGAAGGTAGGGTGTACTGTATAGTAAATCTAGCAATCTTATTGGCTGTTATACGAATATAAGGTCAGAAGCCGCCGCGAAGACAAACAAAAAAATAATCTCAGAAGCTGACACTTGCGAGAGACCACCCTATAAAATTCTCTTTCGCCAAAAATCCAAGCGTCAAGCAACGCCAACCTCTTATAAAAACATTCTCACTAGTCGTACAAAAAAAGGAAAAAGAATAACGCATTTTCCGTAATTTATTTTAAATTAAATTAAATTAACACACGCTGCCTCTTTCTAATTGGATCTAATCAGACTTTTTAGATCTAAGTTTTTTTTGTAAAACGGAGACTGACCACATGCTCAATTATTTCCATGCATGATATGATACGATATACATACATGCGGTTGGCAAAACAGCATGTAAATTCATGTTTTTTAAAATGCTGAAAAGTATCTTTTTCAAAAGATCGTGTATATGTAGTTCTAATGATATGTATTTATATTGATTTTTAAAGTTGTATACTATAGTATGAAATTGTTTTCTCTAGTGGTTATTAAAGAACCGTTTCTTTGAAAACAATATTAGTTGGAATACACTCTACTATGGCCTATTGTGTAGTCATGCGTATATATGTACAGTTTGTTTATCTATCTATATATAATAGCAAACTGAAAGTGACATCATCATTTTTTTATAGAAAAAAAAATTCAATCCAAAGGTCATAGTTAACTTGATTTTAAGATCTAATGGACCAAAAAAACCCTTTCATATGATTGATGATGTCATCAAATATTTGACAACTCTTCATTGAAAAGGTATATATTTCATTTTAATAGTCACAATCATATTTACCATACCTTTTCATAAATTTAAATATTAATATTGACTTTTTAGAAGATAATATTTATATGTGTCGTGACCTAAGAGGTATGAACGTATCGTGATCCAAGAGGTACGAACGTGTCGTGACCCAAGAGGTACGAATGTGTCGTGATCCAAGAGGTGCAAACGTGTAGTTACCGAAAGGGTGTGAACATGTCGGGACCGAAAGGGTGCGAACGTGTCAGAACCGAAAGGGTGCGAACGTATCGGGACCAAAAGGGTGCGAACGTGTCGGTACCNAAGAGGTATGAACGTATCGTGATCCAAGAGGTACGAACGTGTCGTGACCCAAGAGGTACGAATGTGTCGTGATCCAAGAGGTGCAAACGTGTAGTTACCGAAAGGGTGTGAACATGTCGGGACCGAAAGGGTGCGAACGTGTCAGAACCGAAAGGGTGCGAACGTATCGGGACCAAAAGGGTGCGAACGTGTCGGTACCGAAAAGGTGCGAACGTGTCGGTACCGAAAGGGTGCGAATGTGTCGGGACCGAAAGGGTGCAAACATGTCGAGGCCGAAAGGGTACGAATAGTTCGGGACCGAAAGGGTGCGAACGATTCGGGACCGAAAGGGTGCGAACGGTTCGGGACCGAAAGGATGCGAACGGTTCGGGACCGAAAGGGTGCGAACGGTTGGGGACCGAAAGGGTGCGAACGGTTCGGGGCCGAAAGGGTGCGAACGGTTCGGGACCGAAAGGGTGCAAACGGTTCGGGGCCGAAAGGGTGCGAACGGTTCGGGGCCGAAAGGGTGCGAACGGTTCGGGACCGAAAGGGTGCGAACGGTTCGGGACCGAAAGGGTGCAAACGGTTCGGGGCCGAAAGGGTGCGAACGGTTCGGGGCCGAAAGGGTGCGAACGGTTCGGGACCGAAAGGGTGCGAACGGTTCGGGACGGAAAGAGTGCAAATGGTTCGGGACCGAAAGGGTGCGAATTGGTTCAGGACCGAAAGGGTGTGAACGGTTCGGGACCGAAAGAGTGCGAACGATTTGGCCTCGCAAGAGTGCAAATGGTTCGGGACCGAAAGGTAGCAAACGGTTCGGCATCAAAAGGGTGCAAAGGGTTCGGCACCGAAAGGGTGCGAATGATTCGACACCGAAAGGGTGCGAATGGTTCGGCACCGAAAGGGTGCGAATGGTTCGGCACTGAAAGGGTGCGAATGGTTCGGCACCGAAAGGGTGCGAATGGTTCGGGATCGAAAAGGTGCAAATGTACCATCACCAAAAGGTGCGAATGTAACATCACCGAAAGGGTACAAATGGAACGTCACCGAAAGGATGCGAATGTAACATCACCAAAAGGGTGAGAATGTAACGTCACCAAGAAGGTGTGAATATAACATCACCGAAAGGGTGCGAACATAATGTTACCAAAAGTGAACGAACATAATATCATTGATACTTATGGATGCAAGTCATTAGGGTTAAGGCCGAGCCATCATGAGTGGTAAACATATTGTTCATGGTCGAGTGCTATGGACATATGAAACAGCCTTAAGGTTGTATATGAGTGGTAAACATATTGATCCATGATATGGATCGATGGCTCAAAACAGCCTTAAGGTTTTATTGTACCTTGTAATAAGTATAAAATGTATACATTTATATGTATGGTAATAAAAGCACATAGACAATAACATCAAAAAAAAAAATTGAAAAATGGAAAGACATGACTCCTGATGGTAAATACTACACACCTATAGAAATGAATATACAATCCAAGGTGTATCGTGTTACACAAATTATGAAACTACTTTATAAAGTTTGTATGCCAAATTTAAATGTAAACCAGTTTTAAAATTAAATATAAAAATAATCAGAAGAGGTTAATTATTTATTTGTTTCCTTAAAAAGACACTTTTAATGATATTTAACAAATCATAAAATATATTTTTCAACAATACTCCACCTTTCATTTTATTTGGCATTCACAACCTTTCACATTAATTGAGATTTTTATTAAGATACACAACTTTTCATTTAATTTGGCATCAGAACCTTTAGAATTAATTGAGATTTTTGTTAAGATACACAGCCTTTCATTTTATTTATTAAGAAACACAACTTTTCATTTTATTTTCTTAAAAAGACACAACTTTCCATTTTATTTTGCATTTACAACATCTCACATAAATTGACATTTTTATTAAGAATTACAACTTTTCATGTTATTTGGCATTCACAACCTTTGAAATTAATTGAGATTTTTATTAAGATACACAACTGTAGAACTAATAGGTAATTTTATTAAGACACCCAACTTTTCATTTTATTTTATTAAGAGACACAACTTTTCATTTTACTTATTAAGAGAAACAACTTTCATTTTATTTTACGTTTACAACATTTCACATTAATTGATATTTTTATTAAGAGTCACAACCTTTCATCTTGATTGACATTCACAATTTTTAGAATTAATTGAGATTTTTTTATTAAGATAAACAATTTTTATTTTATTTGACATTCACAACCTTTAGAATTAGTTGTGATTTTTATTAAGAGACAAACTTTCATTTTATTTACTAAGAGACACAATCTTTCATTTATTTCTCTAAAGAGACACAAATTTTCATTTTATTTTGTATTTTCAACCTTTCACACTAATAGACATTTTTATTACGAGTCTCAATTTTTCTTTTTATTTGGCATTCACAACATTTGAAATTAATCAAGATTGTTTTAATTAGTAGATTTTTATTACGAGAAGACACAATTCTTATAACTATTTTAAATATTTTTAAATTATTTTTTCTGAGACACAATTGTTTTTATAATGAAAAGATACAACTTTTAAGCTAATATATTTCAGTTTTTATGAAGAGATACAACCTTTCAACAATTGTTATATGAGAAGACAAAACTCTTACGACCTCTTTTAAATACTTTTAAACTATTTTTTCTGAGACACAAACTTTTTTTATAATGAAAAGATGCAATTTTTAAAATAATATTTTTTTTTTATAAAAATCTACCATTCTATTTATAGTAAAAAAATGCAACTTTTAAACTAATATATTTCAGTTCTTATGAAAAGATACAACCTTTCAACAATTGTATTTTTCATCTAATGGTCCAAATAAATATTTTATGCAACTTTTATAATAATAGATTTATTTTTTGAATACACAATTATTTTTATAATGAAAAGATGCAATGTTTAAACTAATATATTTCAGTTTTTTTTTATGAAAAGATACAACCTTTCAATAATTGTTATTATGAGAAGACACAATTGTTATTATGAGATTTTAAATACTTTTAAACTATTTTATCTGAAACATAAACTTTTTTAAAATTGAAAAGATGCAACTTTTAAAATAATAGATAACTTTTTATGAAACTACACAATTCTATTTATAACAAAAAGATGCAACTTTTAAACTAATATATTTTGGTTCTTATGAAAAGATACCACCTTTCAACAATTGTTTTTTTCTTTTGAAAATACACAATTATTTTTATAATGAAAGATGAAACTTTTAAACTAATATATTTCAGTTTAATATGAAAAGATACAATTTTTCAACCATTGTTTTGTTTTTCATGCAATTGTCCTAAGAAATGTTTTTTAGACATAAGATATTTATGGCATTAACATATATTTTTAAAACAACACATCTTTTTACGTGAAAGAGTCACACGTTTTCATATTTGAAGGATTACAATCTTTAGTTATAATTGTTTTTTTTTCTTCTAATTGTCTTAATAATTTTTGTACACTTAAATTAAAATTGCTATGAGCAGTTATTTTTTTTCAAACAACACAACTCTTTAATCTGAAGAGTCATACTTTTCCCTAATTCTTGAATTTTTTAAATTTTTTTGAAGAGTTTCAATCTGGTGGTTGTAATTGTTATGGTTCTATCTAATGATTCTGAAAATGTATTTGGTTGAACTTTTTTTTCCTTGTAACTCTTGAAAATATTCATTTTAAAACAAAACACAACTCTTGATAATCTATCAATGTACCTTTTCAGATTACTATAACTAGAACATTTTATAGATGTAATTTTTTAAGAAAATTTATGTGTTTTTCTCTAATATAAGTATGGTTCTTAGTACTCTTGAATATAATGTTTGATTCATTATATAGTTCTAAACTATCTTTAAAAATTTAATGTGATGTCTGCAAAAAATAAGTTAATAGGTTTAGTTTCAGTGAAACTAAACTACCATATCCAAACCAATCTGGCTATAAGAAAACAATCTATATTTTTTTGTAATCTCTTATTCTTCTTATGATAAAGTACATTCTTTTTATATTTTTCTAACCCAGTTTGTCTGGAGTTACTGAGTCTTATTGTTTTTTAAAATGTCGTTCTTTGCATGTTAATTACAGTGTTTTAAAACATATTATATTATTTAATCTGAAAATTTATAAAATGTTCCATCAGTTCAACAAATTTTAAAATTTTGTTTTCTCATATATAAAAAGATAAAAGAAAATGACTGCGAGTTTAATATTAAAGTTTACTTTATATTGTTATGCTAAACACATAGCACTTAAATTTACACATTTTCAAACACAAATTATACTTTCACTCTTCTATTATATAAGATTATTTTTGTTTTGATCTTCATACAAAATAATTAGTTTATTAAATGATTCAAAATGATTAATTAACAAATATAATTTATATAAAAAAAATTTAAAAAAAAACATCATTTCTCCCGCGCGTTTACGCGCGGGGTGGTTTCCTAGTTATATTAAAAGAGAAGTCATGACTCACTTTATGTGTGATTTTTTTAGTTTTGACCATCCTTAGAAATTTTATATAAATTTACATAACATCATTATAATATCTTTTCATATTTTTAATTTTTATTTGAAATACAAATAAATAATTTTAAGAAAATTCTAACAAAATCTTTTAAAAATCTTATAGAATCTTTTCAAGATTAGTTTCAAAAATTATTTGATTAAAAATTTAATTATCATAGAATATAATTAAAATTTAATTCATTTTTTTACAAAAAATTAAAATTATGTAATATACTTTTAACAATATCCCAAAATTTGTTTATGTATTATGTAGGTCCAATTTAATTTACTTTTTTATACATTTAAAATTTAGAAATAAAACAAAATATATAAATTAGTAATGTTACATAATAATGTTTTTAAAAATTGGTACAAAAATACAAATTTAGAAATTTTAAATTAATAATATTATAAGCTACATAAATATTATTATAAAATTGAATAGTATATACAGTCAAATTATATTTATTTATTGATGAATTTTACTCCCTCCGTTACTTAATATATGATGTTTTGGATCATAGCAGAAAAATTAAGAAATTTACATTCTTTTACAAAAGTATTATTAAAGATATAATTTTATAATCATTCAACAAATTATTAAAAGAGTAAAATTTTATCGATTGAACAATTTCCAATAAAATTAAAGATAACTTTAAAACCTCAAAATATACATTAAAATCTCAAAACATCTTATATTTTGAAATAAAATAAATCTTATAAAACATCATCTATTTAAAACAGAGTAAATATTATATAATTTCAAATAGTTTCGTTTTAAAATACCCACACGGTTGTGCGGGTCGAGATCTAGTGATCCATTAAAATACCCAAAAAGAAAATTTGGACTCGGATGGAATAGGATTGTGCGTTCGGGCCCTTCGGGTGTCATATTTTGGCCGAGTTTACGTACCCCCCGCCCTTATGTTAATGTTAGGCGACCGTAATCTTGTCGGTAGACTACATTTTTCTATAGAGATTAATGTGGACTGTTCTGTATATCTGAGATACATCATATTAAAAATATAATAATAATAATACATTCGTTTAATACAAAGATATCTTACATTGGTGGAATACTTTTTAAAAACAACTTTTGGATCGTAATTGAACCGTAAACACTACTCATCCACTAGCTCAAAAGAAAATCATTATTCCATGAAATATTTAAAAACGTGTATTCTTTTTGGACATATAATTTTAAAGTTGTATTCTAAGCTTTAATTTCATACAAAACTAAGTGGGTTTTTATGTAGTATTTTTTTAGTGGGTTTATGTATTATTTCGAGTATTAAAACAAGCATTTTTACTGATTTGTTATATGTGCCAAATGATCTTTGATTATCAATATATATAATTTGAGAAGCATAAAAAAGAAGCAACGTAATTGGTTTTATTTTTTACCGCAGTAGAAATTTTTGCTTGTTTGAAAAGGAATACTCTAAAATAATTCTACGTATATTCTTAGGATATACATAACTTCAGCAAGAAAAAATCTAACTATTTTTTTTTTGAACACCAAGAAAAAATCTAACTAATTTAGAGAATATATTCTTAGTTTATCTAACTAAACCGAAATGGACAGATATGATTTGTATCAACAACAACAAAACAGCGTATTATATATTCTCTTTTACTAATTTTTATAGAAAACAAATTACCCCAAATTTTAAATAGAAGTAAAAGTTAAAATGGAAACAAAGCCAAGAGGAAGCTTCGTGAGCCCAGAGCCCAAACTATCTATATCTATATATATAAAGTAATGTTTGCCTCCCTCTAGCCTATGCCACGTCATTAATTTGATGAAGCTGGACGTGACACGTGTCCTATCTTGCCAATCCGCTGCGTTTCATTAAGTCCGTTGTGCATCCGTTAGGGCTTTTCTTTTTTTATGGGCTTGGTATTATTTGCAGTCTTCTCAGAAGTTCCTCGGCCCTCTATTTCAATTAGGGTTAATCACGTGCTCTTCTTCTTCGGCTCCTCAGAACCAGTGTTCTCTTTCAACTTCTCTTTAGAGGCAGTTACTGAATCATCATCTCAAAACCCTCCATTAACCTGAAGTCTATTCAATGCGATTTGTTATTATGTAAGGCGGTGGAGGTTGATCTATATAAAGGTATGATTTCCTACTTTGAGAGTCATCCTCTCATTCTTCTAGGCTAACCAGTAAACTAAATTTGTGAGATATGGCTAACTTCTCGATCTTCCTCTCCGATTTGCAGGCGACAACGAACTCATGGAAGTCGATATGTTGCTGCTTGATTCCCAGGTTTGTTCTGCTCCTCTGTTTGAGTTTGTTGTTTGAGTTTGTTCTATTCCTCCACATAGTTCGTAACTATATTGGTTTTTCATTTAAATGTTTCCGTCTTCAATCCTTATTACCACAGTGGCTTGATTTGATTCGGTGATCCTGATTATCACAGTAGACATGCTTCTACTTGAGGTTAGGGGAGCTATGCTTGCTCTGGTTCATGTCTCCTCTTCTGATCCTCTGCCTCGCCTTGGTATCAAAAACAAACCAATTGTTAGTCTCTCTCTCTCATTCTATATAAATATTTTACCTTTTTCAATTTTGGTTATTGGAAAGTGATGCCATTTTAACATTCTTGCAGGAAACATCATTTGTGAAATATATACTTCAACAGTACACTGATGCTTCCGATGGACAGAAGTTTCAAAACTCTATAAAAAATGCTTATGCCATGGGAAAGCTCAATATGATCACTTCTGAGCTTCAGACCACGACAAGAACTATAACCGGAACCAGTCCAATGCTGAGAATGTAGGTTTCAATCTGTGGCAGGTGAATCCAAACATAGATATTAACAGTTTTGTAATGTTCTCTTCTTCTATTTGAATCATTTGATTTTATGTTTTTGCTTATGCATGATATAACTTTTGAGTTGATATAGTGGGACCTTTGTTGCAAGTTAACAAAAATTCTGAGAAAGATATTACTTTTAAAGTTGATGGACATCACTGAATCAAGATCAAGAAAAAGCCACTTTTGAAGTATTTTCCATTAATTCAGTTAATGGCTGTGTTTGCTTATAGTACATGTTTAAGAAGAAAGTAGACACTATCTTTTTGGGCAATAGTGGTCCTGAAACAACTTCAGTCTAAGTTGAGGTAAAAAGGAAAATAAAAGCTCATGAATGTTCTCTATGTTGAAATCTTAGATAGTTGGATTTATATAGGTTTAAAAACAAAGAAAAAGAGTCTAAAGTAGAGGAAAGAAAGACAACATAATAGAACAAATGAGTTTTCAGAGATTCTTTTCTTCCTTTGTTTTCATTCTTGACCTGATTTTTTTTTTTTATTATAGATCACAGAAAGTTTAAATTTTATGAAGTTATTGGATCTTCATTTTTAATGGACTTGATGTTATAAGTCACGGATCTGCTAAAAACTGGTTAAGTGTTAAAAAATAAAAAAAACGAAGACCAATATGAAAATGAATAATTAATTAAATTGAAAATATATGACTAAAATTATAAGTGTTGTAGGTTTTGGTTTAACAAGTTAAAAAGCATCTTCGCCAGATACTTCGATCTTATCTTGGTGGCTAAGCGACCATAGTTAGGACTGCTGGCATTATATTTCCGCTCTCTTCTTCCTGCAAGCATCATCATGTCGACATTATTAATATTTTCTGCTTGCGAACAGTAGCGATTCCAAACCAATGATGTTGCATCATATATGATAATATCTTGAGATTCTTTCTAAGGCAAGCATTATTGTAATTAGAAATGGATTTTGTTAAGAACATGAACACTCACTGTTGATTGGATTACTATTATTATCCAACATTACTTACTCAAAATAACAAATGTCATGTATGGCTCAAAATTCAAAATAGGCCATGTCAAGTGAAAAAAAAATGGCAGAGATGCTTACTCCTAATGTGTTAGGTTCTTCGTCCATTAGATCTGATATACATTGAACTCAATCTATGATTTGTCAGTCTCAACATTATTTGAATCAGTGAATTTTAGAGAATTTGTTTTCTATGAATTCAGTAAATAAACATATAAATTAATAAATAAATCATATTGAACAATAGAATCAAACCAACTGCCATTCTAAAGATTTTTATTACAAATGCTATCATAATTGTGCCGAATTTGTGATTTCTAACAAAAAAAAAATCAAAATAAATAGTGAAAGGTAAAGTGTAATTAAAAAATATTGTATATTTAGATTTTCACATGCTCATTCATTCAAATAAAAGATTTTTAAATAATTTTTAATTTGATATCCCGCCCGTAGGGCGGGCTTTCCCTAGTACGTTATATAAACAACTCTCTTCCGTTTCCATTCGCCAAGTCTTCTCTCTCTCTGCATTAGGTCTAACCTCAAACATCGTTGTATTATAGGATCACACAATGTCTACGAGCAACGAAGAAGATGTTTCGAGCAACTTTGGATGCAACATCTGTCTTGAAATGGCGAGAGAACCGGTCGTGACACTATGTGGTCATTTGTTCTGTTGGCCTTGTCTCTACAAATGGATCCACTTCCATTCTCAATCGAATCATTGTCCTGTTTGTAAAGCTCTCGTCCAAGAAGACAGTTTGGTTCCTTTGTATGGATCCGGTAAGCCATCTTCTGATCCGAGATCCATGCCTCCTAATACGATTCCAAATCGACCATCTGCACCTGCACCTGCACCGAGGCTCGAAACAGCTCGTCCTCGTCTCCGACAAAGACATGATCATCATCATGAGTCTAGTTACTTTGGAGTTGGAGGGTTTCCAAGTGGTGCACGGTTCGGGAACTTCTTATTGTAGTCTTGATTAACCCGTGTAGCTAGACACCATGTTCTTATGTTTCCTTTGAAACTATTTATTGTTCCTCAGCTTTGTAGCAACTTGAGATATTTGATTTTTCAGTCTTGGTCATAAGCTCTTTCATATCTTATATTGGTAGATTGATCTCTACATGAATGTTAATTACATTATAGTAGAGTAAATAGTACTAGAATTATATACCTTGAGCGTTTTGATATGATCTCTACATGAATGTTGATTACATTATAGTAGAGTAGTACTAGTAGATATACATCTTAATTAAGCGTTTTAATATGATCTTATATATATGATTTATTTTAAAAGATGAATATGAAAGTTTTGCATTCGTCGATTCAACAGATCTACACCTCTCTCGATACCAAATTAGGTATGTATAGATGCAAAGTTTAGAGATAATTTTTGTATTGTAAGAGTATTTTTTTATCAGATTAAAGTGACACCGAACACAAGAACCAACATACACGAGATATATTAGAATATATGAACCTCAAGTATCTGGCATCTGCAGAATCAAAAGAGATAACTGCTATACAAAGAATATTCCATTTCTTCAAGATCACCTACATCCTTCAAGGATACCTTGGAGAGACCGAATGGTTTGCAGATTCTTTAGCTAGAACCGCACGATCTCTTTTATTTTAATTTTTTTAATTTTGCTGGTTATTCAAATTCTAGTCTAGTTTCATAGACCACCTATTGTTTGATTAATATAAAAATCTTTTGTTGCAAAAAAAAAAAACAGATTAACGTGCTAATGGCCAATATAATAAAAATAAATAAGTTGAATGGTCCATATAGAAAACTAAAGCTAGCAACGAAATTTGTAACTATACCAAGTATCAACACATAATTGGTCACCCAAAAAATTATAACTATCTTTTTGTGTGTGTCTCTTAATCGATTTGTACAACTACAAATTGATGTTATTAGAGAGAGTTGAATAAATTTTGTTGAACAAGATACATTTACAGAAACACGCCATAAGCCAATTAGTCTGATAATATTAACAGACACGTGTATCCTCTTACGAAGCCCATTTAAGTCTTTAATGGGCCAGCCGATTACATCAACAACTTGCAGAGCTCACGAAGCAATAGAGAGAGACGGTTCCTCCTCATCTCTTCCCTTCCCTTCCCCTTATCTTCTTCTTCTTCTTCTTCTTCTTCTTCTTCGTGCGGATTCAATGGCGTTATCGGTTTCGAACCTCGCCTCTTCTCTCACGTCCCTCTCGTTCTCCTCCCAAGTTTCTCAAGGAAGAACCACCATTTCTTTCCCCCGGACAAACTCGGCGTTCTCACTCCCGGCTAAATCTTCTCGTCGCGCTTCTCTTTCAGTCACCGCCACTGTGGCTGCTCCCGCGGAGGTAGCGGAGGAGGATGTTGATAGAATGGAGCTGAAGAAGTACGTGAAATCTCGTCTTCCCGGAGGTTTCGCAGCACAGAAAATCATAGGCACGGGACGGCGTAAGTGCGCCATCGCTCGAGTTGTGCTCCAAGAAGGCACCGGCAAAGTTATTATTAACTATCGCGATGCCAAGGTACACCTTATCTTTTCTCTACATTACTATTTCTAAAATTCGTTATTACAAAGATGATGCCAAACTGTTTCTATTGTGTTTTGCTTAAATTGAGATTTTGTCGTGTAGTTGTCTGAACCCATTTATTACTATAAATTGCAGTTTATTGTGCTGCTTAGATAGTCTTGGCCTCTACAAAGACATTCTCTATTATGTAGAAAAGTGTTACAAAGACATTTTTTCTCTAAAAAATGCTAGATTTTCTGAGTAGTTTTGTATTGGTTGTTACAAAATTATTTTAACAACCTGTTTTGTGAATATGAATGATTTTGAATCAATCCCCACATATATATTGCTGATAATGATGATGATCCTTGCAAATCCTTTTGTTTAGGAGTACCTTCAGGGCAACCCATTGTGGCTTCAATACGTTAAAGTCCCATTAGTGACACTAGGTTACGAGAACAGTTACGACGTGTTTGTGAAAGCACATGGAGGTGGTCTCTCTGGTCAAGCTCAAGCTATTACTCTTGGAGTTGCGCGTGCTCTCTTAAAAGTAAGTGCAGACCATAGATCTCCTCTGAAGAAGGAAGGTTTGCTCACTAGAGATGCAAGAGTCGTTGAAAGAAAGAAGGTTGGGCTCAAGAAGGCTCGTAAGGCACCACAATTCTCCAAGCGTTAAAAAGGAGCTTTTGTTGTTATTGTTGGATCATCAAACTCTTCTCGTACACTCCATTTCCTTGTTTTCAGTTTATGTGTAGATGAACCAATCTCTGTTTTGATTGAATATAATGCAAAGCTGCCAAGATTGAAAATTCATTTTCTTACATTAAAAAGTCATTCTATTACTCAAATTTGAAGTAGTCTAGAACTAAACCGAAATTGAACAACCAATACAAAACTCAGTAGCTGAGTGGTCAGCTGTTGTCTCGACTCGAAAATCTAGCATTTTTTAGAAACTTTCCCTTAGTTTGTGAATTCATTATAAGAAGAAATAAGGCTTCAAACAACATATATTATAAGTTCTTTGTGTTTAAAAAGAAAACAAAAAAATCTTGTTTATGATCATCATATATCTTTGTCTTTGATTTGCTTATTATCATATCTCGACATGTTTCCATCACATGGACGCTTCACTGAACTGGTTTTGTGTGGCTTGATCTGCTCGTAACTTGGAACATAAGGGCACACAAGTGGCCAACACTCTTTGTCTGAATACTCTCCAAGATCCAATTCTCTAAAATATCCATCCTCTCCAAAGACTTTAACTGTGTCTGATTTTTCTTCTCTGTCTTTACTAAACACCATTGCAACTTTCTTCTCCTCTTCAACAAAGAAACCCCCATCTGATACCTTCCTTATCAAGCTACTGAATGGTCCCATATCAACTCTCAAGAACTTGCTCCACGACACCTTTGTTCCCCAATTCACTTTCAAGTTATGCAATTCCACCCAATCTTTTGTTCGTCATCAATCTTATCACTGATCCATATATCAACCACAAGTGTTTCCCTAGACTGAACTAAAACCGAAAGCTTCTCATCTCTCACACAAGACAGACTCACAAGATGCTTATAAGTAGCGGTGAACGGTAGGTTTTGAATCCCTCTAAATCTCAATGCTCTGAAATCAAAACAGACTGTGTGACTGATCAGTCCCTGTGAGTCTGTAACACACCAGTACGTGTTTCCTTTTAGAGAGACACCACGGTCACAAAACATGAGACCTCTTAAGGCCTTAGAATATTGAGGAGTCCATGAACTAGACCCAAAATCGTATGTTTCATATAATAAAAAGTCTTCTTCGGCTTTAGTATCTCTACACCTCAAGATTTTGTAGTGTTGTCGATGACAAGAATCTTCCTCGTACCCGATAGCGTACTTGTACTCCGCAAGTTTGTCAAAATGTCGGCCTTTTTCGATCCACCTTGTTTCCCTTAGACAAGGGTTCCAAACCACAAGTCTCTTGTCGTCTTTCAAGATGCATAGTAACAAACCGTCGCAGTGAAAGACTTGAGATATCTTGACTTGTTCGTGTGTTAGGGAAGTAAGTTTACCTAGACGCTTTGTTGATGGGTTTTCGTTGACAATGACGCTCATTAGATAAACATTATGATCCATCATCACGATCATTCTAGACTCGCCTAATTCTCTTGCTTCTTCCGATGTTACTTTAACGTTATGTTCCATCGTCTTTGCAAACCTCCTCAAGAATAGTCCACTGTTCCACGTTTTGCATGTTGATCGTACTGCTCTCACAGATTCCGAGGGAACCAACATCGTCGTCATAGTTTTCACGTTGGAACAAACCCTTTAAAACCCTATTTGCCGTTCCTCTCTTATATAACTAGGTAATAACCTAGCTAATTTCGTTTTTTTTAATAAACAAATATTAGATCTATTTAATTAAAATATCAATTTAATTTTTTTTTTGTTTTTAATCTCTTAAAATATAACAATCATTCTAAATCAATATTTATTTTGGTTTATTTATGTTTTTGATTCTTCTAGTGATATATTATTTGTTTGGTTTTCATGTTATATATATTTTAGATAGTTTTAATGTCAAACTAATAATTTTATATTATAGTTTGTAAACGGATGATAGTTAAAGAGAACGAAAATGAAATTATTAAGATAAATTATTTCACTACAATTTGGTCGATAGTGAAAAAAATATTAAGAAACAAATATTTCAACTTCTAAAGAATTAGATAGTTTATTTGTGGTATATATTTAGTTATATAGGTGTTCACGTCAATGTGTACATACGTATATAAAAAATATATAGAGGTAGTTGATATATATAAAAATAGTGTTAATTATTATTAAATGGTATTTTTGTTTAAAATAACACATGAGAAATATTTTTTGAAATAAAATTACTTGAAAATAAAATACCCCTAGACATTAGTAAAGTTTTTTCATATAAATAAGACCAAATTGTATCCATAAATAGGGGTGGGTGTGAATCGAATATACTGATATTTGGAGGTATTTGTGTCAACTCGATCCGTAGCCACCTGGATATTTGGTATCTCGGATATCCGGAAATTTTAATGGATATCCGATTTGTTCTATAAGTAAAATAAAATTTATTAAAATAAACTAAAAATCTAAAAATATAACATTTTATTACAAAAAAACATTATTTAAAATTTTAAATTCTAATACCTAATTTAATAAATTTAATACATAACAATATTGTAAAACTTGTATAAATTATATTATATATATAATTCGTTAAATATAAGTATATATATGTGCATATAATAGATCGAATCAGATATCCATTCTTAAATATATTAATATTTGTGATTTTCTTTGTTTTTTACGGATATTGCATTTTAGTATTTGATTTGTTACTAGAGTAAGAATATCTTGGTTCGAATCAAGACGGAAACCAAATCGAATAAAAATTTATACATATTTTATCCAGCCCTAACCGTAAATAACAAAAATGATATATATATATATATATATATAGTTAATTATGTATTTTGATTCAAACCAAAAAATAATCCGGATATTGTAAGTCTTACAAGATGTTGAAACCGATAAGGAACCCGGAATGATAAATCTTGAAGCCCTCCAAATCCCACTCTTGTGAAATCAAAACAGACCTTACTAGTGATCTGTCCCCATGAGTCTATAATGCATGCACCAGTAAGGGTTTTCCCTTGAGAGAAACATCAAGGTCACAAAACTTGTTTAAACCCTTAAACGCATTAGATATACATTATGATACTGTAACAACTTGTCTCGTGGGATTTACCCGCCTATGGCCGCCAGGCTGGCCCTGCAGGGCACAACCCCAACCCTTTCAGTATGAATTCTTACTAACTCCATAATTAGGTTGTTGGTGAGACTCGAACTCATGTCCTCACCCTTTAACAACCCTTCCACTGAACTAGTTGCTACCAATTGATCTGCATTATCAAGATCATCCTAGACTCACCTAACTCCCTTGCTTCTTCCGATGTTATTTTAACGTTATGTTCCATCATCTTGCAAATCTCCGATAGAATGAAGCGTTCCAAGCTTTGCATGTTGATTGTACTGCTCTTGTAGAGTCCAAGGAACCCTAGAGAATAACTCATTTCGAAAGTCATAAGGAAGATCCAACATCGTCGTCATAATATTTTAAGTTGCAAACAAACCATTCAAAACTCTATTTTACGTTTCCTTTCATATTCACCAAGGTGCATCGTTTATATATTTCATGGTGAAAACCCTACAAGAAGTTGAACCAATAATACATGGGATTGAAAACTCTCACTTCTTGCTACTAAACTTTTGGTTCTTTTAAAAACAGGAAAGAACAATAATCATTGTTTCAATCTCGCATACCTGAAGCTCGGATTAATAATCATTAAATTGTTGAAAACACATAATTGTAAGGCACCTCAATAGTAACATAAATTTGGAGAAATGTGTGTGTATATAACTATGTATTATCGTAAAAGAACACACTTTTTCTTGGACTTGTGATCTCTCTCATTCTCTTGAGTCTTGGTATCCCTGTCATCATACGGTTTGCCACGTGTGAAACACTGATCAGATGCATACAAAAAATGAAAACTGGAGATTAAGCTGGTGTAGCTGAGAATGTTGATGTGAATGTTAAGTATGAGAGAGCTTACCCACTTTGATCCTTTCCATGCATTTTCTCTTGCTACTTGCCTACTTCCTCTGTTTTAATTTATTTTGTTCTTCCATTCTCTAGCTTCTTAGAGCATTTACAACCGTGAGACCCATAAGAGTTCTTAACAAAAAGGGTATTTCGAATTTGGTAAGAATATTTCGAATTTAAAAAAAAGATGATCTTTCGCGGGTTGTCAGGTAGGCAGTAGGATCCGTGAACAATGAAGAGATCAGTCCTTAAGAAAGGATTTTAAAAACTCTTTATAGCACAAACTCATAGAAAATTAGACCTCCCACCTTGCTAAAGACTCCTTAAAAGTTTCTATTCTTGTTACTTGAAAATAACAAAAAGTTAAACAAACACAACCCTCAACTCTTGGGTGTTTAACCAGTAGTTTAATACAACTTGATTTTCTTATGCAATATATGATGTGTGTGATGTGTTGTTCGAAAAAAAAAAGATGTGTGTGATGTTCCATCAATAGGATCCTATCAATTTATTGGTTACATGCATTTGTCAAAAGAACATTAATTGTAACAATTTAATGATTTCGAGAGGTCCATTTTCAAATTTTATTTATAGTCAGCTGCTCAGCTGATGACAGTACTATATCAATTGGTTTTTTTCTTCTGGATCTACTATCAGCACCGGACCACTTCAAATTTCCTTTTTTGGTTATCTATGATTATGAACAACTGAAGTTGTGTGTCAGTGTATGTACGTCACCTAATGTATATTTGTATTTTTGAATATTTCTATGAAAATATAAGTTAAAACAGTTGCGTATCTTTTGTCATATCGCTATCCCTTCCCTGCAGCACTTCGCTGCCACAATACGACGAGTGAAAAAAAGGTAAAATATTGGTATCCAAGTGTTCTTCCTTCGATTAAACCGAGGTCACCAAATCTCTGTGTAAGTAAGTATATGCATACGATTATGAATCTACATTATTGCTAATTGCTATTCTCTAAAACAATTGGTGACGAATATATGCAATCTCTCTCCACAAACTGCACAATTACTTTTGGTTTATTTCTCATTAACTTCCAAGAAAAGTGCATGAACTAGTGATTGGCCAATGGTCTATTAGTGTTTTATGTCAAGGGATGGATTCTTTAAAAACATAAAACTAACGAAACTAATTTCACTAGAAGACTTATAAATTTTGATTTCGCCTGTTTTTTTTTTGTTTTAACATTAAAAGACTGTTTCTATCACAAGATAAATTTGGTTTGGGAATACGTATCATAATAGAACAATCAATAAATTAGGACGATCTTAACTAAATTGTCTATAGTCATGTTCTAATTCCTTGGTACATGAATGATCTTGAATTCTTGAAATGGTCTTCTAAAAGCTGCAAACTATGTTAACTCCATAGAAAAGTTTAGCCATGTTCTTAAATCCTTAATCATCAAATTATATCAGTACTAGTACAAAGTGTGTTGGGTCATATTTTTCATTGCCCGTGTAGTTTCGCATGTTAAAGATTAAAAAAACATTTATCATAAACATAATACAATTAAAATTGGTTATAATAAATTTATGTGAGACAAAAATTGTCTATGGAAATTTTGTTAATATTTTCAATTGCTAGTATGATAGGAAATTTTTTAAAAGGTATTCCAACAAACATAACAAACAGGAAAATTATTTTACTAATTTATATAGTTGTTCTAGAAGTGAGAATCGAGTGTATTTTAAAAGTATAAACTACTTCTACTAAAAAATAAATAAATAAATAAACTACTTCTACTTAAAAATGACTTTTTGCTATATAGTATACTTAAAACCAAAAATGAACTAATAGACATGAAATTATTTAGGGTAGTATTTTTACCTTGTTGGCTCTGGGCTCGGGAAGGATAGGCAATATTTGTAAAATAATATTTGATCTAATCTTAATCTACCGGTTGATTAAAAAAAACAGAAAACCGGAAATTATTTCATTACTTTTCTCTAAAAGATATCAACTTTCAACAACAACAAAAATACATTAAAGTTGCATAACATTATTTCATGTATAAAAGGTTATAATACATTTTTAATTTTAATTCAGATTCAGAATAAAGAAAAATGAATAAAGATGTTGTCACAAAAGAAAGAAAAAAAAATTATTCTGGTCATGGATATGTATGTGTGTATCTCTGTCTCGCTATCTGTGTGTGTTTTGTTGTTAACAGAAGGTTTTTATTTTTGACGTCTCCACGCACGATTTTAAGCCTCCATTACGCTCACCACGCATCCTGAAACAGAGAGAAGAGAAGAAGAGAGATCGAATCATCTTAAATCTCTAGATTCTCTCTCTCTCTCTCTTCACCCTTTTCTTGCTTTGTCTTCTTCCTTGTCGTCTTGTTGCAATGGTGGTGGGTGCTGCGTCTTCTTGTTACGCATCTCCCTTTTGCACCTTCTTCGTCGCTGCTTGCATGTCCTCCGTCTCTCACGGCGGCGGTGGGCGGAGTCGTCGAAGGAGACAGCTCGGCGGCCAATGCTCGGGTGTTTCTGGATCCGGTAGCATTCAGGCTCTCGTGTCTTCTTGTCTGGAGTTTAAGCCTTGCAATCACTACAACAACAACGATAAAGGCAATGCCTTTTCTTCCAATTCTGTCTCTCTGAATCGTAAACAGAGGAGACTGAATCAAGCAACTAGTTCTTCCGGTATTACATTCTTCTCATAAATATCTAATCTTGGTTTCTGGGTATTGTTTGCAAGTTGACAAGCTTTGTTTTTTCTTTTTTGTGTTTAAAGTTTCTTTCTTTTATGTTTCCTTCATTACACAAGTCTTAATAGTTCCATGTTGTTATGGGTTTGTGTTAATGGGTAATGCTGAAGTTGGATTCTTTATTTTATTTTATTGTGATTCAATGTGTGTTATGAATGCATCCTAATACAGAGTTTGGAGACGTGAACAAATGGCAGTGAAACTATTATAATATATATTAAAATTTTTGAAGTTGCCATTTGGTATAATGCCATTGAGATATGGTTACTAGATAGTAGCTAGTTTAAGTTAATCTATCATCAAATACTATTAATGATTTTTTCTGGTTTTTTTTTAGGTGGAGCCATGGCTGTTGCAATGGATATGGAAAAGGAAGCCACAGGTAACAAGAAGCTTCCTACAGAGCAGCGCCGGGTTGTGGTGACAGGAATGGGAGTTGAAACATCATTAGGTCATGACCCAAATACCTTTTATGAGAATTTGCTACAAGGCAACAGTGGTATTAGCCAGATTGAGAATTTTGATTGTTCTGAGTTTCCCACGGTAAGCATTTTTACATGAGAGTTTCTTCATTTTCTTTTGTAGTTTACTTTGAATATCTTTCTTTGTTTTTTTGTCTTTTGATAAGAGAATTGCGGGAGAGATCAAATCCTTCTCTACTGAAGGATGGGTTGCTCCAAAGCTTTCTAAAAGGATGGACAAGTTCATGCTCTATCTTCTCACAGCTGGTAAGAAAGCTTTGGCTGATGGTGGTGTAACTGATGAAGTAATGGCTGAGTTTGACAAAGCCAAATGTGGTGTTTTGATTGGCTCTGCAATGGGTGGCATGAAGGTGTACTTTCTTGATTGTTTTCCTAGCTGACCGTTGAATCTCTAACAATCTATATTGTTGATACAGGTCTTTAACGATGCTATTGAAGCGCTGAAGATCTCTTACAAGAAGATGAATCCTTTCTGTGTACCTTTCGCAACAACAAACATGGGTTCTGCTATGCTTGCTATGGATCTGGTCTGATTAATTTTTGTATGCTATGTAATATTACATGGAGGATCACCAGCGATTTAGTACTAATCTTTCTTTTTGTGGACATGTATTAGGGATGGATGGGGCCAAACTATTCTATTTCAACTGCTTGTGCAACAAGCAACTTCTGCATTCTGAATTCAGCAAACCACATTATTAGAGGAGAAGCTGTAAGTATCCTCCACCCAATTGGAAATTCTTAGGTTTGGTAGACTTCATCTGGTTCTACTTTTATTGGACTATGTCTGTCTTTCCACTAAATCTTTCAGGATGTAATGCTCTGTGGTGGCTCAGATGCAGTTATTATTCCAATAGGTGCAAACTCGTTCTCCTTTATTATATTGTTCTCTCTGTTCTTGAAACCTAAGCTACATGTTTCTTATCTTAAGTGTACCTATAATGCAGGTTTGGGAGGTTTTGTTGCATGCCGGGCTCTTTCACAAAGGAATAATGATCCCACAAAAGCTTCACGTCCTTGGGATAGCGTAAGTTCATCAACAATTTCTTGTCCTCTCTTATTTCAAGTCTTGATTACCAACGGTACATGTTAGAAACACTGTAATGTTGAAAGAGTTTTAATGTGACGAAACGTGTGTGTTGTGTTTGGATAATCTTCTAATTTGGTAAACTTGCTTGTTTGCATAACAGAATCGAGATGGTTTCGTGATGGGAGAGGGAGCTGGAGTTCTGCTTCTGGAAGAACTTGAGCATGCTAAGGTATGTACCTTACTCGTTCTTGCTCTGTTTCCTTGTTTCCTATGTATTCTTTCTTTAATCACAGCCAAGCTCTGTTCATTCTTGCTATGGAAAAATAGTTGTAAGAACTTATGTATTCTGATGTTCCTCTTGTAGAAAAGAGGAGCAACTATCTACGCAGAGTTCCTTGGTGGCAGTTTCACATGTGATGCCTACCACATGACCGAGCCTCGCCCTGATGGTAGCTTCCTTTTCCCCTAATTCATTTTAGTTTTCTACTCTCTACTGCAAGTTTTAAACCTCATTTGTCTTTTGTCACATCACGTCTTATATCCACAGGGGCTGGTGTCATACTCTGTATCGAGAGAGCATTAGCTGACGCTGGGATTTCCAAGGAACAGATCAACTACATAAATGCACATGCAACCTCAACCCCAGCTGGAGACCTAAAGGAGTACCAAGCTCTTGCTCACTGTTTTGGCCAAAATCCTGAGGTAACTTTTATCTGTCCAGGCCTCCTCAATTTTCAGTCCTGTAACAAAATTCCATGGTAGTTTTCGTTTGGTTACCTTACTTGGTTTCACAATATGTCGGCAGCTAAAAGTAAATTCCACAAAATCTATGATCGGACACTTGCTAGGAGCTGCTGGGGCCGTAGAAGCTGTTGCAACCGTGCAGGTAACACATTTAATATTAGACAACACATCAATGTTCCTCAAGGAAGGAAATAGTGTGAAATCTTGGCCTTTTTCGTGCTAATTCTCTGTTGTTATCTACAGGCAATAAGAACAGGATGGGTTCATCCAAACATCAACCTCGAGAATCCAGACAATGGAGTGGTATGTTAGTTATTTTCTTCGCCTTTTGTTAGTTCAAGATGGTCATAGTTCGATACTAGTATACTACACAAATACCATTTACTGTGTCCATAAGAAAACTGTCGGCCGGAGATTTAATAACACTACCTAATGTGATGAAACTGGAGCAGGATACAAGTTTGCTGGTGGGTCCTAAGAAGGAGAGGCTAAACATTAAAGCAGCCCTGTCAAATTCATTTGGGTTTGGTGGCCATAACTCCAGCATCATTTTTGTTCCTTACAAGTGAAGGCTATAGTCGGTTTCTTGTACTCCAGACCTGGGTTGTATAACTTGCTGTTAAGGTACATTAACATCCATTGTTCTCTGATCCATCATCATTGTACAGTGATGAAGCTGAGTTTTAAAAGCATGTAATTATTCTGTGCAGTGTTTCACAAGAACTCCCCATGTTATGTTGTGGTGGGAATCATCAACACCCAGTTTTTTTTAAACTACCAAGAGCTATAGCTAAGTTTCTTAGGATCAAGATCTGATGTTGCCAGAGAACTTGGATAGGAGCAAACGTAGCAGACTTTGGATTTGCCATTGAAAATCTGTTTCTTGTGATATGTTTTTAATATGTTTCAGACTCAAATTCTTAAAACGAATTTAAAACTCTCACGTGTTGTCCTAATCAACTACATGCATGGTGTGATTAGCCATATATCTTTAGTTTATGTCGTAGATTCAAGAGTTTTATGCAATTTATGTCATTGCATCATCATAGATCGTGTATAGTATTATTCTTGTCCAAGTATTTTACTAATTTTTTTTGTCATAAAAGTATTTTACTAAATAGTATTCCTTCTGTTTCATAATACATGATGTTTTACTTTGATACACAAAGGTTAAAAAAATTAATTTTTTTTCAGAAAATTAACTTTAAAATATAATTTAAAAATCATTCAACCAGTTAAAGAAATGACTGCAAAAATTTATTGGTTAGATAGTTTTCAATAAAATTTAAAACAATATAAAAAAAATGTTAAAACATCATCTATTTTCTTGAAACAACAAACATCTAAAATTTCATCTATCACGAAACAACAAACATCTTATCCTTTTTCTAATGTGTTTAGTAGTTTAACGACAAAATGGTTATAAACCCCAACAAAAGAACTGAGATGGCTGAGTGACAATGATCTTACAATAGACATTTACAATAGACATTTCTATATTTATTTCTAAAATTCTCCATTTTATAGAAATACATTTCAAAATTTTGAGTTATCTTATATATTTACAGCGCAAATATTATATAAAATTGTCAGTTTTACTTTTCTTTTAGATCTGTTTATTAACAAAATAATGCAAACATAGGGGTAAAGCAGAAAATTATTAATTTTCATGTGTATAAGAAGTTTAAACAACACTTATTATTAAAAAAATATTGAAAGGAAAATCCTAAAAGCTACCTTTGTTTTCCCTTTAATTTTATTTTTCATCTATATTCGTGAGAATAATTAACATTTTTTCTATTTTCACTAAATATAAATGAATGTTATTTTAAAAGAATATGTTAGAATACATTGCATTTAAATTTTAAAATTGTTTTACTTTTAACAAATAACAAAATAGGGGTGGGACGGATTCGGATATCTAAAAAATTTAGAATATTCGGATCTGGATTCGTTGGATCCGTGATTTTAGTACGTGGATTGGATCCGTATCTTCCGCCAAGATTCAGATATTCGTTTAGAAACTGTGATATCCATGGATATCCGAATATGGATCCGGATCCGTAAGAAAAAATTAAAATACAAAAAATTAAAAAATAATATATAAATTAAATGTTTATACAAAATTTATAAATATATTTATGACATACAATATTATTAAAATTAAAATAGAATATTCTAAGACTAATTTTATGTATAAATAGTAATTATCCAATAAACTTATTATTAAAATTAAAAAATATATATTTTAAAAACACAGATCAGAATATTCAGACCTAAAAATTATGGTATCCAGATCCGGATTCAGTTTGGACGGATCCGAAATCTTACTTTCCGGATCCAAACACCTTGGATATCTTATTTTTGGAGCGGGTTTCGGATCCAGATCCCGAATGATAAGTCCCAGCCCTACCGCCTAGTGCCTACTGTTAGTATAAAATGTATTTAATTTTAACACGTGCTCTATATGCTTTATTATCGAATTTATTATCTGCAACCAGCTAAGAAAGTAATAAAAGATTCTCATAGTCATTGACTCATTTGTTATATTTATATTCGAGAACAAGGCAGAAAAGCAATTCAAGAAAGCACGAAGATTCTTCCTCTCCTATTCTTTTCTCACATCTGGAACGAGCTTTAACGATGTCGCGTTTTGCCGAGTGTTGGGAGTTCCCTGGTCGGAAGTTACCTGAGAAGCCTAGCTTCTCACAGACATGTAGTCGATTGAGTCGTTATCTCAAGGAGAAGGGTAGCTTTGGAGATCTGAGCTTGGCAATGACATGCAAGCCTGACGTCAACGGTAAGCAAACCCTTCTCTCTCTCTCTTGATCTGTTTTAGGTTTGTTAGATTCTCTAGGGTAGTATAGGAGTCGATACATCAATTACTTGTGGAACAAGTAGCTGAGAATCGGTTATATATGTTAAACGGAAACTAAATCATCTTTGTTTTTTGGTGGAAAAATAATCCTAACTTTTAGGTAAAAACCAGATATAGGTTTGGTGATGATGATGAATCTGTTCTTTGTGAAGCTTCAGGAATCGATTCTAAAGCTGCTCAAGACGTTGAACTACAGAATGATTTGTTTCCTTCGTCCTCCTTTGGGGCCAAGGAAGAGGTCGTGAAGATCACAGAGACTAAGTATGTTTTGTTATTTGTAAATAGTGATAAAACATCCTCTGTTTATACTAGATTTGACTTCTTTTTTTTTTTTGTGGGTTGTCTTTTGAACCTGAACAGATCTTTGAAGCACGAGTCTCAATCTGCTCCATTGACCATATTCTACAGCGGTCAAGTTATGGCGTTTGATGATTTTTCTGCTGAGAAAGCCAAACAAGTCATTGACTTGGCTAACAAAGGAAGTGCGAAAAGCTTCACAACTGAATTGAACAATAACCAGAGTGCTTATACTAAAAGCTTAGCCAAGAACCAAAAAGAGATTGCTTCTATCCCAAGGCCAGTTAAAGAGCCAATCCAGACCAACACGTCCTCTTTAGCTTCCGGTAAGTATTTTTCCCAGGGCACTTTGTTTCAGTCTCTGACCATTTGGCTTAACATATTTGTCTAACTTTCTTATTGATTTGTAGAACTTCCAATTGCTAGAAGAGCTTCGCTTCATCAATTCCTAGAAAAGAGAAAGGATAGGTAAAATGCATATTTGTGAAAACATTTTATGTTAGTACTCCACTATTTTAACTTGTTGTTAAAGCAAGTTTCTAATATATCCCACTCGTAACCGTACCGTATAACAGGATTGCATCGAAGGCACCGTACCAGAAAGAAGGTTCAAGCCTAAACACAGCCTGGCTAGGTTCACAGTAATCCTTTGAGACTTGTGTACCTCATGCTCCATCGTTTACCTATATGAAGTTCGTATTCATTTCTTTATAAATAAATTTGTTTATTGAATGAGTCAATAACTCAGTATATTTGTATGAATGTTATCTTTATACTCCCTCAGTTTCAACTTTTCAATTTAGTTGTAGTGTAAAATTATAATTTTAAAATAAGTACCGATTTTATGATTTTAATGTAATTTCTTTTTATTAATTTTAGACATTATTTTATTTTTATTGATTGAAATATGATTACATTTATAAATAATGATGTCTTTATCTTTAAAATGTGAAATTATATGTTTTCTTAATTTTTGTTACAAATCTAAAACGACAAGTAAAATGAGATAACTAGACTAGTTTTTCCGTTGTGTCATAAACCTTTCCTCTGTCAATGCTAACATTTGCTTGCACTATTTGTAAGAGCATCTTGGACCCACCTTATTTTAAAGAGAATAAAACCTCAAAATGAAAATTTAAAGGTTGATTGATCCAATCATGAATCCTCACAAAAATCCTTAAAAATTTTATTTTATTTACATTATAATCCTTAACATTAATAAACATTATTAATAATGATAAAACTTCACAAATACATATAATACATACTTTAATATATTATACAACATACAATACTATATAATAAAAATAATAGAAATTACATATATAATAAAACAACACAGATGCACACAACTTTTAGAAAACTATATATAAAATACCAAATTACTCAACATTATTTCTGTAATGCTCTCATATGTGTTCAATTAACGCATTCCAAAGTGATATGTGAGATTCTTTATTTTTAATTTGTAGATTACAAGCTAGAAATTGTTGAAATCGGGTATGTTCATTCACTGTTATTTCAACAGTTACCTCAGACGCTGATCTTGCATCTCTAATAGGTGCGGTGATATCACATTCATCATTGATTATCATGTTATTCATTATGATACACGTTATCATTATATCATACATGTCTTCTTCTTCTAGCAATGTGCAAATCCTACTATGATAGCAAACTTCGATTGTAGAACTCTAAAAGGCACGTTCAACTTTGTATCGTTTATGGAGGAAAGACGATACAAAGTCTTTGTCGGAAACCAACTCGAATAATCGAGGTAGCAAGTGAGGCGGGAAAAGGGATTTTGTCCATGATTTAGAGGCGACGAGTTTACAGACACGAACACTTCAGCTAGTAAGTTTGAAATTTTATTTTCTTATCAAATTCATCACAACGTCCTATTGGAACGGAAAAACAAAATTAAATAGAAAAATGACTGAAGGTAATAATTCATCTGCTGACTCTATAATTTCATCAAATAAACAAATCCTTATTTTAAAAAAGAAAGTGCATCAACTATGAGTAATTATGAGTTGCAGCAATTATGTCTCCGAAATCAGGCTAAAAAGTCAGCCTTAAAAGAACGAAAACGAGATGATAAGATATTATTAGCAAATATAGACGTTGATGCTGATACACGTAAGTATATGAGATTGAAAAGGGTGAATAACATACAAAAAGGACTAAGAAGAGCAGTAACATCTTTTATTTGGTCTGAATATTTATCAACCATATTTCGATTATCTTGGAGGTTCAGGATCCGGTTGGCCGATGAATTATGGTATCTTGGTACCACATGTAAAATATGTAATATTTAAAAGTTTATGTAATTTGTTTTCATTTATGTTAAGTTTGTTTAACGTATTTTTATTTTGTGTGAACTTTATTTAATTTATTTTTCTATTTGTGTGAATTTTATTTTAATGTTATATGATATTTATTCTATTTTATTTTATTTAGGTGGACTTAAGTTATTTTAAATAAAGTTAGTAGATATATTTGGGAAATAAAATAATTGTAAGAACTGAAAATAAAATGAATAATAGTTTTGAGATTTTAAATATTGAAATCTCAAATTTAAGGTGTTACTATTCAAAATCTACAAAATTAAAGATTTAAAATTGAGTTAGAATGACAAAAATTGAGTTAGAATGACAAAACATCCGAATTTGAGAATTTAAGATATAATTGGAAATGCTCTAAAAAAAATATTAGTCCTGCTTTTCGGCCTTATATCATCTATGCAGTTTAATTGGTATAGGTGTTAGTTGGATAACAATTTTAAAATATCACTAAAATATGCTTTTGTTCCAAATAGACAAATAACATCCATCAAATCATATTAAAACATATATATTCATACGGTCAACGAATTAAGAATTAGTGTTTAGACTTTTAAGGTTGGAATTTAGAGGTTGATAAATTAGGTTTTAGAATCTAAGTTTTATAATTTTTTATATAAAATCTAGAGTAATAATATTAATCTTATTTAAATAAATATAAATATTTAAAAATATTTATTTGTATTAACTAATTATTCATTAGTATTGGAATACTTTTTACTATTAACAAATAGTATCTTACTAATATATCTATTATTAATTTTTTCTTGGATATTTGGTGATATTTAGGGGAATTACACATATTTTTCTGATCTTCGTAAAGAGTAATGAAATTATTAAATTCAGCTCATCGAAAGAGATTCCAAAAACATCGTCTCTTCGAAATATAGACATTAGTTTCAAAAAAAAAATAGAAATATCTAAATAAATAAATGACTATTTATGAAACTAACACTTAGAGCACCCCAATCAAGGGTTGATGGGGGAGTTCACACGCGAACCGAGAAAAAATAATAATATTAAAATCAGATTTCTATGAATTCTTTTCTCAAAAGTTCACCGCGGTGAACCCCAATGACCCCGGGTTCACCACGTGTCAACATATGATTGGTCCAAAATTAATTTTTTTTTTTAAAAAAAAGTAAACGAAAATTAAAAAAAAATTATTTTTTTTATTGCTGTGAACCTCCAAGGGGGGTTCATCAATGTGGGTGCTCTTAGTAACGTGTAGGTTTAGACTGAGACATTTGAACCTATTTCTTACTATCTAGTGATTTAGGTTTGACAATTCAGAGAAAATGTCAGAACCAGAGTATTTTGGTATCGAAGATATAAAATATATTAAATGCTAAGAGTCTCCAATCTATCTTTATATCTATTTATATAGTAGTATTTAGAAACTAATCTGTTTTACGCATTTGTTTCTTTTCACAAATAAATATTTCTATTTTTCCTTTATACTATATAAGATTTATTTATATTTTAAAAGTTATATTTTAAAGGTATATATGAAAGTGAAAGTGATTTTTATCATCGAATTCGTCTATTTTAAAAAATAACACATTATAGATTATTTGATATTCCTTTTAGCTTTTTTTAACACATTTTTCCTTTAGCTTTATGAAGGTTTTTTCAAGGTTTTTTGCCTAATGGAACCTAATAATTATCCCATTTATGTAGATCAGTAGTAGATTAGATCAGACCAAGCTTGGTAGGCCATGTGAACTCTGGCTGGCGATAGCTTATTGGTTCGCTCTTCAACAAATGTTTTAAGCGAACCAAACAAATTTTGCATCGAGCAGAATCGGGGCCGACTTCATCTTATCAACATATAGGTTCAGATAGTAGATTCTTTATTAATCAAAAAAGCATTTTTTCTCAGTTTTGGGCAAAAAGATATTATACAAATTAATTTCTGACGACGGGGCCCAAAATCTACAAGTTGCACATCCAAAGGGCCATATGGATTAATTGCACTATGAATCAGAATGATGAAAAAGTTTTTTTTTTTTTTTTTGGAACACGAATGATGAAAAAGTTATTATGTTGTTTCTTCATGTCTTTATTTTTCCTTATTTTATTAAAAGGTTAGTTTACTTTCGTCATCAACTTGAATCTGACACACAGGACGCGATATTTAATTTCTTCAAAGATATTTGATTCAGAATTAAGATGATAGTGAAAATGAGAATATATATATATATATATATATATATATATACGAAAATTTCATGTACAAGATTGCATTACAGTATTAGTAGTTAAATAAACATCTTGACGGGTAAACATTCTCTTCTAAATAAACCAGAAGTAAACCCACATGAATTTGTATTTTTGAGCAAGGATTCATTGTATAGTTGTTCAGGTCTTCTTTTTTTTTTTTTTGTACACCTGTTCAGGTCTTCTAGTCACAAAGTTATAGACACGAGTCTTGTGCAATGATACATTGTTACTTGATTAAATTATTACTAGATTTTGACCCGCGCTTTGGAAGCGCGGGTTTTTCGGATTATAAAATTTGATATGAATTAGTATTTTGAGATTGTTGTATATTATTATAGTACAAAATTGTTCTGTATCAAAGAAGAAAGTCTGTTTAAAACTATATAATTTTTGAATTAGTTTATTAGAGAATTTGTATGTAGATTTTATATAACTCTCCTTTTCTCTTAAGCTAGGTGTTTACTCGAATCCAAAAAAAATGATTGGCTCCGAGTCCAAAGAAATGTACATATTGTGTATTTTTTTGAACCATCGAATCTTGGTTCGGTATGGATCCTATCCAACACTCGGTCGGATACCCAATAATACATGAAATGTTTTGTGTATATTAGGTATATTTGGATATTTTCAATATGTTTTTGGTATTACATATATTCTTTTTTCTTTTTTGAGTTTTTGTTTTCAGCTATACTCTCAGATTTGAAGTAAAATTTTAAAAATTAAAAATATATTCGATTATTCAGATAAAAGTTGGGTGTTTTCGATTTCTAGAGTTATATTTCACGAAGAATTTCATATCGTTCGAGTATTTGAATATATTCTGAGTATTTGTTGAGCTTTTAGACATTTTCTATTTTCAGGTTTTCAGATATTTTTAATTTTTTCCAGATTTTAAATATCTGAACCGACCTAGATCTGCTACATACCCAAATATATGTATTTTAATTGTCAAGATTGGGTAACCTATACATATACTTAATCTATGATCCAATCCAACAAACATTTTTATTGATTTATTTTAAACATATAAACCTTAATCAAAACCCAAAGCAAAGCTTCTATACAAGTTGCTTTTAACCTAACAAAAAATTTCAATCTTTTTTCTCTTTTCTTATTTTTTTTTTTCCTTTTAAGGTACTATTGAATAATGACCACTTTTTTATGTTAATGTGCTTCTCTTCGAATTATTCTGGTGCTCATCCTAAAATATGAATATCCCGGCGGAGAAACTCTGCTCGCCGGCACAAGGAGAGCTTAAAACGTCGACGTTTCTCAAGACTTGTGATTTACATTTCTCATTTCGTTCGTCCTGCATTATCTGCACTGATCTGCACTCTGCACTGCAGAATCCCATCTCTCCTCTGCACACAAACCAAAAAGAAAATCAGTTTCAAAGAATATTAATTTTGCACCAAAGTTTAAGCAAAAAAGTAAATAAATAATTTTAAGAAAGTATAAATTTTATTACAATAGTGCGAAGGTACACTTACTTGTACATGTATATGTCTTTGCCATGAAGTCTCTTCCTACACAAGCAACACGAGCTCAGAAACTCGGTCGAATCTTTAAGAATCTGTCTCTTAATAACCGGTGGTTCATTAGCGATAACCAACGGTTTATGCTTTCTCCGGTCATCGTACTCCGACCCATTTTCAAACAGTTCAAACCCGTCGTCACTGTAATACACTTTGGTCGGCCCACCAGGGCTCGTCACGTAAGTGTATTCCTCATCAGACAGATCGATCTCAGGGGACCGGAATCTCCCGGAGTAGCAAACCGGATCGTACCGGTTACTCCCAATGTTACCTTCCTCCAACGCAGCGACGATACCTAAACCGATACCACCGGAACTGTACCGTTTCGAGTTAACCGGAGAGGGAAATTTCATATCTAATGGACTTCTCGGACTCGCTGAGGAATCTTCAGGTTTGGTAGCAGATCTTCTTCCCGGAACCAACCTCTCCGACAACTTTCGGATCATTAGATGATGTTTCTTGCTTAGTATCATGATCAAGAATCAAGAAACGCAAGCTTATAGGAAGGAATCTGAGGGAAGAAGAGAAAGGTAGAGAGTTTCTTGAGCCCACTGGTTTCCTTTGAAGTTTGGAATTTTATGTGAGATGATCAATGATTGAAGTATATAGAACGGCCCACCCTTTTATTTATAAACATTATTATTATTATTTGTTTTTGTAATTATTTATCTTGTTTGGTTACTTTGATCGACATTATATTATTTTTACACCATTATTGTAATGAGCAGGCTCAGAAATTTTTATTTTATTTTAGAAAATGATTATTTTTCATTGGTGAGTAGGACACTAGGACCCACCTTTTTTTATCAAGATTCATATGTCCATTTCTGATATTTATTTTTATTCTTAGGAATCCAAGACTTTTCGTAGGGAAAAATATATATTATGTGATGAAATGTACGTGTTCAAAAAAAAGTTGATGAAATGTACCTGATAGATATTTTTTATTTTATTTTTTATGTAATGTAGCTCTATTTTTAAACCGCTGTATTTTATACCTATAGACCAATTCATCTGTATTTCAAATATGGATTGATTTATTAGCACATAGATTATTATTTTAGATAGTGGTTTTACTTTTTCTGAAAGTGATTGTTTTTTTTTAATTTAAGCCGAATATTAGGTGGCAGTTTGAAAATGATTGTGGAATCTTATCCCCAACTCTCTTTGTTGTTTCCATAAATCATTTTTTCCAGGTTATTTTCTCGACCTACATTTGTTTTATCGACCGTTTCTCTTCTTTTGCTAACTAATTAATCTACATACTTTATCATTTCATTTGTTTACGTCTGGACCTGCAAAACACGCGAACCACTTAAAAATTGAACTGCACAAAATGACTAAAGACCTAGGCCCAACTATACTCTTTTGGGCCGAATATTAATATATTCTCAAATATCTTCCAAAACAAATTTGTATGATTCTTCAGAATAGTAAAGAAAATTCCAAAAACTGACAACGAAATTGAGCCATTGTTTGTTTCTTTTGATCAAACGAAAATGAAAGATTTATATGTTATTTATCCAAAGATTTTAACAATAACAAAAAAATGAAAAAATAGGAATATGAAGAATATTCACGTCATGAAATTACAGAATCCGAAACGAATCAAGTTTCCGGGTTGTCGGAGCTCTGTCTAACAAAAAATCTCCAGATTACTCCATAGCCCGAAGGAACCACAACTCGCTCTTTACAATTTTTTTTTGTTTCTTTGGATATTTAAAAGTCCCAAAGAAAAAAAGATCCGTCAAAAATCTCTTCTCCATAATCTTCAATTGGTAAAATCTCTGTAAATCGATCACCGGAGAAGCCGTCGGAGAAGTCATCAAACCCTGGAAATATCTCGAAATCACTAGGAAGCATATCAAAGAACGACATATCATAATCCAGACTTGTCTCCGACGATGTAGCTACTTCAGACACGGAGGTCGAAGGAGACTCCGGTCGGATTTCCGACAAACCCGATTCTTCTTCCCCGACACTAATGGTATTGTCCTGAGCGTTGGCGAATCGAGCAGCAGCTTCTCGAATCTCCGGAGCCGTCAACGACTTTCCGCCGGAGATAGCCGGTGGATTATCGGGAAAATTAAAATCGGAATTGCTGCCGCGGAGACAAAACTGAGCAGCGTCGAAAGCACGCGCCGCCTTCTCGGGAGTGTCGTAAGAGCCTAACCAGATACGATCTCTGCTGTGTGGAAGTCTGATCTCCGACACCCATTTGCCCCATTTACGTTTCCTCACGCCTCTGTACTTTGACTGCATCGACGAGTTTCGATTCTCTTCTTCCTCCTCCTTCATCGCTTTTTTCGCCATTGTAAACAACAAGAAGAAAAGACAAGCACACACCCGGTTTGGTTTTGATTTCGACTCTGTTCCGGTTATGTAGATCTCTCTCACTCTTTCTCTTGGTTTTAGTTTTGCAGTTATTTCTGTTACTTGTTTGATTCGAATTTGCGGCTGTGTGGGGGGTTTTATAGAGGATGGAGTTGAGGAGTGAAGTGGGGAGTGGAGGTAAGAGATCAACGCTGACTGGCGCGTGAAGAAGGTGCACATGGCGGATTATAAGTGGATCACGCGGGAACACTGAGACTGTTTGGTCTATTCTGTTCCTTGTTTTCCACGTGATTTTATTCCACTTGTCTTTTTGCATTATCTGATCACGTATTGTCTTTTTTTTTTATAACACTGATAATAGTTCGAGCCGACATGGTTTCATAACATACAAAGAAAGAACATGAAAAAGATAAGTGTCAATAGACACCAAGAGAGAAAAGAAAGGGAAATCTCACCAAAGCCTTCTACACTTGAGCTTCCAAAGCAAGTAGATGATGAAGCCAAACTGGACCTCCTTGAGCGATATAAGATTGGTGGCGCAAATCACGAGTGACACTCACCGCAATTGACGTTGCTGACTCATTGCGGACGGAACGGACATGGTCTACACTCCAACAAACTATCCGTGCAAGTAGAAATCTGATATTGTGGCATATATGGCTGAAGATATTGTTGTTATCTGGATTTGTGATAACTCCATGAAGGCTTTCAGACGCTGTTTCGAAGATTATATTTGAGAAACGAAGATTATGCATACATTCCACCGCCCAAAAAAGAGCCCATAACTCTGCTTCAACTACTGTACGCATGCACGAGTAAGATCGACGACNATACATTCCACCGCCCAAAAAAGAGCCCATAACTCTGCTTCAACTACTGTACGCATGCACGAGTAAGATCGACGACTATGCATGATTGTAGACCCATGTTCATCACGTAGAATCCATGAAGCACCAGAAAGATGGCTCGAATGTAACCATGAGGATCCAACATTACATTTAAGAAATCCATGTGGTGGTTTTTTCCATCATCTCTGATCCGTCTCATCAGCCTCACTATTACCTTCATTCTTACAAGAAAAAGTATCAAACCATGTGGATTCTTCTTCATAAGCTCGTTTTGCAATTAACGACGGTGGTAGATCTTTATTTTCAAAGGTAAAGGCATTCCTAGATTTCCAAATTTTCCATAACAACCATGGGAAGACATTCCTTGTATATATATCCGTTCCAGAACTTGAACCCATCTTGATTAAATGTACAAAATTTAAAAAAGTAGAGTTCCGAGAAAAGCCACCTAAGGGAGTAGGGAAATTCGATTGCTCCCATGTATTACGGGCTTTCTCACATGTAAACAGAACATGACAAATACTCTCCGCACCATTACCACACACTGAGCATGTGGGGTCGACCGAAATACCCCTAGTATTCAACCGTTGTTTGACCGCCAATGCACCAGACAAAGCACGCCACATAAAATGTTTTATTTTTGGTGGGGCTTTAATTTTCCACAACTTCCTCCATAATTGTTTTTCAATTGGTGTCAGAGAGTGTCCCTGTGGTTGATCAATATCTACTAAAGCCTCCAGTAACTTATACCCACTCCGCGTTGAGTATGAACCATTTGGTGTGAAACCCCATTTAATTGAGTCATCCAATAGAATTGAAGGTTTTAAAAGAAATATCCGTTGCACGTCCTGTGGAGTAAAGGTTTGATTGAGCAAATTAATATCCCATTGACCTGATCCCTCAATAATCAAATCTGAAACTTTTAACGCTAGGTTTATGGAACTACCGTCACGATACATTGGGGGTCTAGGAATTGTATCGATAATCCAATTTTCCGCCCATACATTAGTGTCCGCTCCATTACCAATATGCCGGTATAATCCTTTTGTAAGTAATTCCCTGCCATGCATGATACTTCGCCAAGCATACGATGGTCGAGTCCCCATTCCGCAATCCATACGATCACGTATTGTCTAGTACTATTGTTTTTTTTTAACTGTTGTCTACGATTGGTTATACTCCCTCCGTTTCATATTAAGTGTCGTTGTAGAGAATTTTTTACGTTACAAAATAAGTGTCGTTTTCGATTTTCAATGCAAAATTTATTACTTTTATTATGTAATTTGTTTTTCTATTGGTTAAAATATGGTTAGGTGTATGGGTAATTGTGTTTTTATATAGAAAATATGTAAAATTAATTATTTTCTTAATCTGTGTGCACAGCTGTAAAGTGACACTTATAATGAAACAGAGGGAGTATGTTAAAGGGAAAATTCCATATAAATACCCCAACTAAATTCTATTAAACTTTTTAATACCCAAACTTTTTCACTACCCAGTTTAATACCTCAACTAATTATTCTGCCCATTTTAATACACCAACTTTTATAACTGTATCTATTTTAATACTCAAACTTTGTTTATTTTAATTAACAATACTAATAAATTTCAAATGCAATTTTAAAAAATCTCCAAAATCTAAGAAAAAATATTTAAATTTTCTAAGTTTATTTGAAGATTTAAGAAATAAGGTAAACAAACTCTGTAGAAAATTTAATGTTTTAAAAAAAAAGTTTTTGAAGGAAAAAAAATAATTTACTTTTTATTTAAAAATAACAAACTAAATTCAATATATAAAACTTAAAAAAAAAACTTATTACAAAACTAAAGATTATAAAAAAATTATTTAATTTCGTTACTCAAACATATAATAAAATTAATTTTTTTTGTGAAGTTTAGACATTTTTAAAATTTCATTGGAAATTTATTAGTATTGTTAATTAAAATAAACAAAGTTTGAGTATTAAAATGGATACAGTTATAAAAGTTGATGTATTAAAGTGGGCAGAATAATTAGTTGAGGTTTTAAACTGGGTAGTGAAAAAGTTTGGGTATTAAAAAGCTTAATAGAATTTAGTTGAGGTATTTATATGGAATTTTCCCTATGTTAAATTAGACTTGCATTACAATAAAAAGTTATAGTTCCATCTAACTCGCAGTAAAATATTTGTAGTAAAAACTATATATTTATATAATGAGTTTAATGTAAAAAAATAAGTTATTATCTTATAAATATTATTGATTAGTAATATTTTATATTTATAAATTACAGTTTATATTATTTTTAAAAATTAAGACTACAATAATAATAGTAATATTCACTATAAATTATATAAAATAGATTACAAAATAAACTATATTGAATTACATAATTAAATTATGATTGGAAATATACTTTGTATTTATTCTAACAAAAAAATACCTATATGAATAATTTTGGTTTATTTACCAACTGAAATTATTAATAAAACAATATAAAAAAATTTTAAATAATTAAAATGGAAATAAGGGCTTATAAGTAAATAGGTATATGTTTTTTAAAAAATGTTTTATGAATTGACAAAATGTAAATGTGAGACAATCATTGGGTGTATTAATTTGTTTGGTTAAGAAGCCAAAGTAACGTGGGATAACTAACACAAAACTAAAAAAAAAGTAATACTTCAACTTCTAATACACTGATGAATTTTGTCTGATGTTGAGTTAAGATTGTTAATTTTTCTAAAGTACTCGAAATTATAACTCAAGTATACCAAAATACAACTCAAACATTAACTCAAAAAATTGAAACAAATTCATGATTTGCAACATTTTTGAGTTACTCTCCTAACTCAATTTAATCAACTCTAATACATATCATCAGTCAAAGCCATTATCTTTATTTGTTTTTAGACACGCTGTTGTTTTTTTGTTCAAAATACCAGTAACATTTTTAATAGAAATTAGTAAATAGTAAATGTGGGAGTTCAACTCGTATATAGTAAATTCGAAAATGAGGCACTAAACAAACCATAGATCCAGTTCTTTATTGTAGGAAGTACTCATGATCATCATCAGGTGCAGCAGCTTGTGCCCCACGCCTTCTTCTGAACCAAGGTATATGCCTTGGTTCATAGTGAAGCATTGGTAGCCGAGGTACCCCAGATCTTAATTCTCGAGCTTGAGGTAGATGAAGTTGTCCCGGTTGATCCTCTTCAAAATCCTCTTCATAATTCTTGTATTCCTGATCCTCATGATTCTGCAGATCTTGTTGAGCATCATTATGATAATTTGCATGTTGTTGATCATGTTCCTGTTTTTTCATGATGATGATCATGTTGTTTACTGTCTTCATAATCTCTTGATTCTGGTAACCATGAGTGGAAACATGTTCTCCATGTTGCTCCGGTTCAACTGGATCGTCAAAGTCAAGGTTGAACCGGTCCTCCATGATCATCTGGTCCTCCATGTTGCTATGGTTCAACTGGATCATGTCCTCTACTGACACCTTCACCCGGATAACCATGTCCTCCACGGCCAGCCCCCAATACCAACATGGTACATATATATTGGAAAGTTGATTGGAGCGCCGGTGAGTAGAACTGGATTTCTTGGGAATCTTCTTACTGCCTAAAGACTAGCCTTTCCTTAGCACGAGCCTTTTGCTTAACACATGTATTATACGTGTAATGCTTTGTATAATAGTTATCTTTATGTTTTGTATTGGCTTTTAAATGTTGTATTGGTAATCCTTTATACTGTTAAGCTTTTATAAAAAAGCACTGTTGACAAAAAAAGACACATTGGTTTGTTTAACATTTTCGTGATAAAATCATATGGCAAATTGTAGCATGGGAAAGTAGGAGAAGAATAACAAAGAGCTACACTGAGAGCAAAATATATTGATAAGAATATATGAAACATAATGCTATAATCGTTGATGCTGGTTTCATTTAAAAACCAAATGATAATGAGTATTCCTGTAAAGGTTATTCTACTGGTTGATCTTGTGAAGCTCTTGGGAGGAACATGACTAGGTACCAGCAGCCAAAACGAAACTAGTTTAAAATCCAATCATCCCGATCTTTGCTGAATCGAGTTTTTGGGGACAATAGATAGTTATTAAGAATTTTATTTTATTTTTTCTAATTTGATGGCCTATATTGTTATATATATTAGAGGTCAAAAGAAATATTTTACTGGGTCGTAGCAAGATCCGGTCATATTCAAGTAGACTATATATTAACCTAGAATCTAAAACTTATCCAATATAAGAAAGGA